GATCTTTGGGGCGTCCAATGGCGGCATACAGACTCTCATTCTCCCTACCAAAATGGGAAGATTGAGAGATTCTGGCCGACATTGGAGCGCTGCAAAGCATTCAGGCTATTTCCTGCCTTATTTTGGGAGTACAATAATAACACAACCGCATGAAGATCTCCCAATTAATCCATTAACTGGAACAATACACCCCAAATCAAATGTATCAGCTGAAACCAAATACACAAATGCAGATACAGAAAGGTTGTGGCAAATATGGGATATACAGATACAGGCATGACCGCTGTTGACACATTCACAGCGTAATAATAAACATAATTTTTTAAATTTCATTTTTAACAAGTTTTTTTAAATGTATGTAATGAATAATTCATTAGAATATGATAATGCACATTGTAACAGAATAGAACAATCACCAAATTTTTTTTGAAATTAAAAAAAAAAAGTAAAAAGTATAAAGTAATTAACCAAAAAAGATTATTTAAAAGAATTTTGAAAAAAACAGAAATAAGGATAATGATAATTATTTTAGATACACAATCGATGTACTGAAGAATAATCCGGTAAAATGATGATATATAAATTAGATTATTTTACAAGTAGCTAAAAGAATAAAACTATAATATAAAATAAATGAAGTTTAATGAAACAATAAAGGTTAAATAAATAATAAGATTTTATTTTATATCAGTATTGAGAAGAAGTAACAGCTGACACTTGGTAGACAACTTCTTTATGTCTAGAAATTCTATCTTGCCTTTAATTTTTTCTCGCTGTGAAACGTATTCGGTCATTTTTTTAAAAATTAATTTTTTGTTAGAGATAAGAGCTAAAACTCGGTAAAACAACTTCTTTATGTCTAGAAAATTCTATTCTTGCCTTTTATTTTTTTCTCGCTGTGAAACGTATTCGTCATTTTTTTAAAAATTAATTTTTTGTTAGAGATAAGAGCTAAAACTCGGTAAACAACTTCTTTATGTCTAGAAAATTCTATCTTGCCTTTTAATTTTTTTCTCGCTGTGAAACGTATTCGGTCTTTTTTTAAAAAATTAATTTTTTGTTAGAGATAAGAGCTAAAACTCGGTAACACAACTTCTTAATGTCTAGAAAATTCTATCTTGCCTTTTATTTTTTTCTCGCTGTGAAACGTATTCGGTCTTTTTTTTAAAAATTAATAATTTTTGTTAGAGATAAGAGCTAAAACTCGTAAACAACTTCTTTATGTCTAGCAATTTAACATTCGTCTCCCATTTTTATATATTTGGTTTAGAATTTCGAAAATGCGTAATATGGTCATTAATATTAATTGAAAAGAACCTTGAATTAATTCAATCTGATCTCACAAAATATTTTAAATTACAAACTTTGTAGTTTGAATAGATAATTAGTATTAAACTCAAATAGCTAGTTTATTTTTGAATAAAAATTATTTGAATTTATTCAATTTTGTGAATTTTCCTTCAAAATCAAGTTTAAATATCTATTTGCCATATAATTATAAATACAATGAAACATATTCGAAATTGAAAAGAACGACTTTTTTCTGTTTCTTTCAATCATTCAATTTGAATTTTGCAATATTGGATTTCTCAATTAATAGCTATTAAAAACAACAAGAAATTTAACTTACATTCAAATTTATTTGTGTTATATTCAATCTTCTCAAAACTTATAATTTTCGGCTATAGCAATGATTATATGCTATATAATATAATAAACCTATAATAGTATCATTCTTTCAATTATTTGAAGAGAAAACCGAAAAAATCTATTTTCGGTCTATAACAACTCTAACGAATCAAATCAGTTCATACTTTTATCCAATTTTACTTTTCGTTATTATACAAATATAATAATATATAATACAATAGTGATGGTATCGACAATTTTCGTTTTTACCAGCATCGAGTCTGTGAAGATGGCATTTTCTTTTTTTTCAATTTGTTAAGTCGCTGAATTAGACATACATTCTTCATTAACCTACAGGATATAGCACTATTTGCACTTGATTATGCATTGTTTGACCTTTTTCTATATCGAACTGATTTCGTGAGCTTTTAAATCATCTCTCCTTATTTGTCCTTGCGCTTATTATGCATATCATATAAATTACAGAAAAGAATTACTTAGATTCCAATACGGTGCATGAGAAAACAATACTAAATTTTTGACAAAATAATATCGCGTATTTTATTGAATTATATTATGTAAAGCATAATAAAACAAACATTTTTCGCTCGAAAAATTTCAGATATCAAAGTTGATGTTTATTTTTTAAATCGTCAAATTTAAGATTTTTGTTTAACTACTAATGCTGATTTTGGATAAGTCTTAAACTTAAATTTGAAAACTCGACGCTCGCTATCAAAGGTCTGAGCATTTTGAATGCAATTCAAAAAATATTTCCCGTTAAAATCATACAAATATTAATTAATAAATAAAATAAGGTGCTCATTTTCTGACCGAACTTTTTTTCTATAGTTTTAGCATCATCAAAATTGTGTACCATCTTTTTTATACAATTCTCAAAATTTATTTCAAATGCTATAGCAATACACCCTTATCATTTAATTAAATTATTAATTTTTTTTTTGACATAATCTCGTTTCTTATCAAATAACTTATGTGCTAATTTTAATCCAGATCTCATATTCCTTATCATTATATCAATACCGCACTTTTCTATCAAAATTATTTGAAAGGAATTCATCATTTTTTATGACTGCAGAACTCGAGAGTGTAGACATTCCTTCAAACGCCGTACAGCAAATCGAACTCCAAAAGTTTACTCAATGGACTCAACGCTAGTAACGTTGAAGACATGGCTGGTCAGATACTTAATTCCTCTTTTATCAAGAGCTCAGCAATGAAATACGAGCTTTGTTCAGAGTTAAAGATCATCCATCGTATCAGACCATTATTAACACCCTGCTTCTCAAAAGCTAATTAAACTGTTGTCCGAAAAAATGCCTCGCTTCGATGTTGTTTCACATGTATTCGAAGCAGAGCGTCCAATCTTCCATCCAGATATCATTTTAATGCACCAATGCTTCCAGGATGGCATAATTTCCTCTGATTTTGTTGTCAAATTTTCACAAAGCATTTACTTAACCGAACAATACCTTTTGCCCTTTACTTTGCTCCTTACATTAAGTACTTTGATGACTACATTCTTTCAAAGAAGACATGCAACGACGATCGTTTCCAAGAAGTTTTCAAAGAACTACAGTATTTATCGCGAAAACGACTTCGCCTTACTTCGTAACTACATTGAGTATGGCTGGAAAATAAATTCCCTTGGTTTTTACCTTAAATACGATGACGCCGAAACTTCATCTACAAACACAATGACATGAGGATCGATCTCAATACCACATTGTACTCCCCCATTCGAACACATCCTCGATGGTCAAACTTCCATTATAAACCTTTCAGCTCTGTATGGTTCTGTCTCCATCTTCAAGTACCTCATTGTTTCTTATGTAGCATTACCAAAAGACCTTACAGAGTTCGCTGTAATCGGCGGCAACTACGAAATCATCAGAATCTGCACACAATCAGGTTTAGATTTCTCATCCGCAATTACAGCAGCAGTTGAGTATCACAGGAACGATATTCTCAACTGGCTAACAGTCCAAGGCATTGCTGCTTCTAACATTTTACTCAAGCGTCATGAAGGACAACTTATTGGCCTTGATTTATTTCATTTCTCAAGGTTTCAGCGTTGACTTCAACGAGAACGAGTGGTCCACACCATTACACATGGCAGTTACATACGGATCTAGCGCTGTCATCGATTTCTTGATCTCATCCGGCTGTGATTGGAAGGCCGTAGATGAGAATGGCTGAGACCACTCGATCTCGCTGACTCTGAGTATCAGAAGCACTTTATCAACGACTGCATCAAATCGCGAACTTTTGGCATAGCAAATTGTTTCATCTTATATTTTGTTTTTTTTGAATTATTTTATTCAATTAGTTATAATTCCAATAACAAAAAAATTGAAAAAAATAAAAATGTTCAAATATGTGTAATTGTAAAATTTTTAAACAACAAGGCATCAACATATATAAGATAGATTCCTTTGGACATCTATGAGTTCTTCAATCTATTAACAATGAAGTTTTTTGTCTTTAGAATCCTTGTTATCATGTGTCAAAAAACTCTCTTTATTAAACATCACTCAGCTTTATATCCCAATTTTCTATGAAAAAGTTAATATTTTTGATCGGGAAAGAGTTATTATAAATCACTACCTAGTACTTCATATAACTTTTATACCTTTTTGTTATTAAAATAAAGATATGTTGATATTATTGCAGCATGTCAGAGAGTGGTAATGTGGACTCTTAAATTATAGCATACTTCAAGTGAATGTATTTTGCCAAATGGATAGTTTAACAAGAAATTACATAGTACAACATGTGTATACATGAACTATAGTATTTAGCGGATACTTTATCATTGAATGAAATCAAAACAATATGAGGAAAATAAAGATGATTTTCAGTCTTCTGAGTTTGAGTATGCTTTTGCATTTCCAAAGTAGGATGAGAAATAGTTATCGAATTTAGACAAATAATGAATTGTACATCAAAACAACATAAAATATTTTATTACATTAATTTCCTTTTAAAGTGAAAAAATAAGGAGGATTGAGGTTAATTTTAACAAATCAATCTCAATTATATACAATTTGTATAGTTAACAAAACAAGAAAATTGTCACATGGTCTAATCAAAATTAGATCCAGACATATCCTGGTCTTTGTCTGCAAGCATTCGCAGCATGATATGTTCAAGTGCTTCAACAGTGATTGTATATCCATTTATCCCCAACTCTTTAACGTTTTCATCCATAAATTTAACAATTTTGGAATTTCGTCACAAACAGGGATCATTATTGACTCAGACATCTCATAGTCTAAAAACAGCATTTGGAACTATTTTCTGAATGAAATTCAAGACTTCTTCTGCTTTATCAAACAATTTGCGTTTCATTATCCATCAAAATTCAGTCTGTAGCCGCATTTGTATCTTGCTCGTAACTCTGAAGGTGTTCCCATGAAAATTATTTTTCCTTCGTCCATCACGAAAACTCTACTTGCAACACTTTCTCCTTCTTCCAGACTATGGCTTGCAATTATCGTTGTAGTGTTCACGAAATAAGAAGCCATCTTCCAAAGAAGCTGTCTTTCGTAAGCATCAACTCCAGACGTAGGTTCATCCAAGATTACTAAAAGAAGGTGCTCCGATGTATGCCATAGCAACAGAAAACACATCTTTTCTGGCCGCCAGAGAGATTTTTCGGATCACTAAATAACAAATCATCAATATTAAGTTTTTGATGTTATATAATCTATATGATCTTGGATCTTTTCATTACTAGCTCCTCTCAATCGACCAAAAAACTCAAGATGCTCCTTCACAGTCAATCCTTCAGCAAAAACATTTTCTTGGTAACAGAAGCCAGTACATTTCTGGAGATCAACGAAATCAGCATTGAATCCATTAACCTTAAGTTTTCCTTCATCACAAGGAATGGCTCCTGTTAATGAAGATAATAATGTTGTTTTTCCGCTTCCGTTTGGGCCAATGATCAAAATTTTTTCTCCACTGCCTATAGCAAAGTCAAGGGAATCAATAGCTTTTTATAACTCTCTTTCCTTTGTATACTTTTGTTAGGTGAGAGACAGAAAGAAAGGGGGTATCACCACAATTTGCAGGTGCCATATCTTTTCTTGATTTCCAAAATCGTTTCCAAGCTGTCAAGGAGAACATTTTTGTTATTCTATCTCAGGAATACCCCACTCCTTAGGAGATATTAAAATTAAGAACAACAAGATTCGTAAAATAACAAATTATTTGAATAACCAAAGCAATAATAAGAGTTTTGTTCGAATGTGATATATATGGGTGTCTCTAGGATCTAAATTTGTCTATCCCATGTTGTGAAAAATAACTCTGTACCGTACAAGCCGGAAAATAATAAATCTAAGTTTTCATATTTGAATCCAGGAAAGAAATCAAAGGCCATCCAGCTTCAATCATAAGTAAATAGTAGATTGTAAGCAGTCCAAACTTTTTTGGAGTGTTAAAAAGCGGAACAAAGCAAATTCCAACGAAATATATAGCAAAAGAAGCCAGAAGTAAGAATAAATACAACTCTCCAAATTTTACATTGTGCAATTTTGTATGCATCATGTGTTGTTTCCAAAATTGCAAAAATAAAAGATGAAACAGCACAAAAACAAAGATCTATTAACACAAAACCTGTCCAGAGAATGATATCACTAATACCTGATGTATTCATCAGTACTAATGTCTTGTTATGCATCCAATTACTTAGAATATCAAAATTACTTACCATAAAAGAAATAAACAGATGCAAATAAACAACTTCCCATATGAATTTATGACGAATTTTATAGCCTTGAAATGAATAAATAGATGCCTTTGCACCAATTTTGTTTTGGATTTTTGAAATTTTTCTTAGAAAGATAAAGTGATTGCTGGAAACTGTTGTGATATTGATCTTTTTAAAAATTATCTGATGAGCTAATGTCAAATGTATCCTTAATATTTAAAATTTAGTTGAATTTCTATAACAAATTAGCTCTGGATGATTGTTTTCTATATGATATATTACAATAAGACTGTTATCATATGAATCCGGTCGAATTGTAATTGATTTTGATTGAGGATAATCATTGATTGATGAATACTGAGAAAATGAATAGTTTTGTGATGGAATAATCTTAACATGCTTATCATCAACGATATTTGCAAGATGAGAGAAACTGAAATGTAGAAAGAGGGTAATACTGATATGACTTCATGCGCATCTGAATGACTATCCTCATCCAGCATCTAAAGGAGTAAACCAGGGTGATCTTACCCAAATCTTTACTATGCATCATTAAAGATCGTTGCATTTCATTCAATTAGATCGTAAAATCAACTGATCCAATTTTTTCCGAGGTTAATAAATAATTCAAAATCCCTCAACTTTTCAGAAGATTGAGAATACTCTCAATTTTTTTTGAATCAGGAGACTAACAATTCCAAAAGGTTAATTGTTTTGATTTCAAATCTTTAATCACAAGACTCTTTGTATATCTTTACTATTGCGCCATTTTTTTTCCAGCTTTCGGAATTAAAATCAAGGTGTTTTTGAATTATTGAGACAAAATTACTTCATGACACATCTGCAAAAGTATCAATGGGTTATATGAATGTAGTTTTGTATTATAGAAATAACAATCTCTCAAGCAAGTTTGCAACATAAAACTTTTCACCAGTTCTCTCGAATAAATGAGTTAAAGATAGTTGTTCTCAGATCCCAGCTGTTCATTTTGGGATCATATGAATATTGGAAAAAACCTAAAGATACTAGACTATTTTATGCATTATTACCCAATCTGCACTACATTTTGCAGTACATTTCATGAACATATCCAATGAAAAAATGATTTTTTTTCCGCCAAAATTTCAATTTTCCATATAATTTCGCATATTTTGATTGTTTTTTATTGACAATATTTTTTTATCATATATCATTGATGTCGCATCGATATCAGAAGCATTAACTATACACAGTGGATAGTAGTATATGGATTTACGCTATGTGGATATGCTGGGCTGTATTTTTTCCATGTTTCAAAAAAGTTGTTCAGAAATTGAACTCATTTTAAAATTTTAAGATCAAATGTTACGGTTTATGAAACACACAGTAATTTTAATATGAAAGTCAAAAAATCGGGAATGAAATACAATAATTCAAAATAACATTTAATTAATCGTTTCTAATTCATCAAAGTTCAGCTCAAAATGAATAAACTTGAAGGGTCCATACTATTTGTCTTAATAAGGTCAAGCAAATGAAGTGTTCCAATGAAGCCAGAATATTGCATTCCAAACAGGTAGGATAACTGCTACTGTCATTGAGGGAATCCATTACTAATATTATTGTATTCAACTTTAGACTGAAATTCAACTGGAGAAGACTTTTGCTCGTGATTTTGTATCATCTTCATCATAAATTCATCGGGTTGGATACCAAGATCTCTTGGAATTTCTTTGAAATAAGCTGGTATCTATATCTGCATTGAACATCTGTTCTTCCAACCAAAACATTTGAAACTTTGGTCCATGAATGATCTCCAAATTGCTGCACGGATGAAATAAGAAGAGAATCTTCTTCTTGAGACCATTGACTCTTATTAATTAATGGACAGAGAGATCTGTTCCACCTCTGTGTGCATTGACTTCTTGTTCTTCACTTCCGACATATGAAGAAACAGCCTTAAAATTATTCAGACCGAATTTATGAATTCCAGTGATTAGCCTTATGTCTTCAGTAGAAGAACCAGAACGTGAAATTCTTGGATTTAGAATTAGAATTTTTTGTAATACGAGGGGTTATGGGATCCATATTCATCCATCATACTCTTAAGGCTAGATATAGGGGCAGACGTGCCACATGCACCCTTACATTTGTCTAAAGCATTTTTCATACGAAAATTGCTTTGTGATGAATCCATAGAGTACAGTCCTTACAGCCTGCTGGCATTCTACAGCAACATTCCTGATCAAGTTCTCGATAAAATGTTTGAGAATGTTTTGTGTTACTTAGCTCTTTTTGTGAAGGAATTGAAAAAAGAAATTGAATAAAAATTATAGCTTTGAAAAAATATGGCATATTAATCAGTATCATGATCACTTTATAATTAAACTTGTTATTGATGACATTTTTTATTTTTCTATGATTCGTGTTAAATAATATCGAGATATATGCATGCATAATAACTATGAATCAGATTTAATTAATAATTGCTTTATCAAAATTCTATATGATATTTAAATGACATGTTTACTTCGATGTTGTAAACAGAAATTCATCAAAAGTGACACCTCAGAAAAGCTAAAATATTGAATTTTTGGAACTTTTGATAGAGCACGTTTTTAAATATTAATTAAAGTAAATGTATATTTTGTAAAGATTCTTTTTAAATAAAAAAAAAATTTTGAAGAAGAACACAAAATCTTCTGAAAAATAATATCACATAAACTCATATTATTTTCTAATATATAACTATTTTATATAAAAATCAAATTCAATGATCTTAAAAGCGAAGGATAAACCTCAAATTTACGAATATAATGAGTGGGAATATAATGCTTATCTATCATAAAACCATATGAAATATCAATTTTTGCTTTACGCCTAATTTTTGACGACAATTACGCAAAAAATGTTAAGGGTATAGTCCACTAAAAATTTTTAAGTTTTGACAATGAAAATAAGCTCTGTGACCATGTAAATATATATCTATGCAAAACGAGAGGTTATGCCATATTTTTTTTAGTTATCAAATTTTCCTTTTTTGAGAGAAGTCTCTCAATAATTTGAGAAGAATCTTTGATATAAAGAGATACACATTTGTAGAACGAAGTAAGTGTTTTCCAAACATTTTATATGTTCATCCTGTATAACAATATAAAGCTGCATAGTGCCATCTTGTGCGTTTGCTATTTTATGTACTTTTCATTGAAATAATCCCTCTTCTTGGGTGATTTTAACAGTCAACTCAATTTTAAAATAAAGATTTCATCAAAATGATTTCGAAATTCGGAATATTGATTATATAAATAGCACTGTTAACATATTTTGGATGAGTAAAAAATACCTTGTTTTGTATGCATTTAGTACACCTTTATTTTTGATTAAAACTATAAATTTTTATTCCTTATATAATAAATAGTATATGTTACATAAACATGAAATTCAATAGCATTCAATTTTGGATTTTTTAGATTTGGTAAATTTTAGAAGAAATAAAATCAGCAATCAAAATAAAGAAACTTTTTTTGTATCTTCTATGATTACCTTTTTGGTACTAAATTTTGCATTAATAAGTAAATTATCTGTATTATTCTGTGAGCACAAGCCCTCAGTTATGCTGGTATGGAATGAGGAATCGTCATTTTGCGAAGAAGAACGCGATTATTAAGGTAATTTTGAGAATTGTCTTGAATTATTTAAAATTAAAGTTAATTGAATAGGTAGGATAACTAGCCTTTGCTAAATTTGTATAATTTGACCTTATTCTAGTTGGATCTGAGAATATTTTGCTGAAATAATAAATTATATCGCCGATTTATGAAAATTTCTCTGATAGGACCGACTCGCTGAAACGTATTAGTGTTAATGGTAACTTGTCTGAATTTTCAAATTTTTTTCGAAATCCAAAAAATCACAAACAAAAGCAGCAAAATTAGATTTGCATTTAAGGTTTTCATTTTTTATTGGAAAATAAAAATATTTTTTCCCCAATAAAGTTTGTTTTTACTTTTGAGAGGAATAGAAACGTTATTTTGGAATTTTGAAAAGACAGAAATGTTCCATTTTTAATGTAGATTCTAAAATGGGGTCAAATTTTTGATTGAACCGTTATCCATTGAAAAACCTCGATTTTAAAATGTTATTCCAAAATATTCATCTAATGATATAGTATATATTTATTAATTATTACTTTTTATTCAACTTTCACTTTGGCGGATTTCATTTTTTTGTTGTTGTATGGGCCATATTGTTCACCCAAAACGGAAAACAAAGGCAATGCATAACATTTTACTCCACGAACGTCTCGACTCTCAGCGCGACAGATGCTTGGTGCTTGCATAATGACCGGAATGCCATATACAAAAGGTGCTCGCTTTCTTTCTCTTTGTGGAACTAAGCCCCTGTGAAGAGTGGTGTCATGAGACAACAGAGATTTTGTGACGATAAGATTAGAAGACTTAAAAGTATTTCCCTAATGCTGTCGAGAAAGTCCTTCAGTGGTTATACTTATCCATTGATGCAAAGTGGACGCACAGGCGAAACTCGCCAAGTTGTACAGTAACTGCGCTCGATGCTGTCACAAAAAGAGTTCTTGCATGCGTGAACATCAACCATATTGGTGGAAACAGACAGCATGCTCAGTATTCCGGAGCTTCCAACAATATGGAAAGTGCTGAAACTCGAATCATCTTGAAGCAATTAAAGAAATACAATATCTTGAAAGATGTTAAAGAGATTATTAAAGACCGAGATAACAAAAGTGTCTCTGTCTTTAAAGAATTTGGCGTCTCTCATCTTGAAAGATTCGATCCAGGTCATGTATCAAAAAAATCTCAAAAGATTTTACAAAGTTCTCAGCTTCTCATAAGACATTTGAAGTTTTCAACGACAAGACTCAGAAGATTGAAAAAATAGAGAGACCTTTCTGGGGTCTGAATGCAAGCCTAAGTATGTGGCTTTGGTCATGTTTTGCACATATACGACTGACTTATATAAACAGAACCTTGCACCATTTAAAGATTTGACATATGCTCCAAAGTATTGTGTACAACTGAAGAAGAAAGCCGAGTCAAAAGAAGTAAATAAAAATAAGTGCAAGTTCATTCCTGAGCACGTTTTCTTTGCTGACTTTGAGTGCAGTACCGATGGCTTTCATAAAGCTTTTAACATATGTTATGACAGTGAAGATGGTTCAGTGAGTGAAAGCATTTGGGGTCAGAACTGTGCAACAGAATTTTTGGACGACTTCCTGACAAGAGTTTAATATATTTCCATAACCTCAGTTATGATATAAACTTCATCTTAAGACACATGACAGAAGTGAAAGGAACTCCCATCATTAAAGGTTCACGAACAATGCAAATAACTGGCTTATATAAAGGAAGGGCAATTATTATAAAAGACTCTTACAGTGTTATAAATAAGAAGCTTAAACTATTTCCTGCTATGTTTAACTTACAAACAGGACCGAAAGAAGTATTTCCATACAACTACTACAGCAGTGTTTTGTTAGCAAATGACAACAGAACTGGTGTCATTTCTGAAGCATGTAAGTTTATCCGGGATGCAGATACATTCATGAAAAACATAGATTCCATCAAAGGTTGCAGAATAGATGAGAACCACTTCGACTTAGAAAAGTATAGCACATTTTATTGCAAACAAGATGTAAGAATTTTAAGAGAAGGTTTTGTTAAGTTCCGCAATGACATATTGAAAGAATTTGATTTAAACGTTTATGACTACGTTAGTATTTGTTCAATTGCTAACAAATTGTTTGAGAACAGAGTGTACTTCCCGAATGGAAATTTATATGACCTCTCAAATAAACCAAGAGAATTTATTTCACGCTGTATTCAAGGTGGAAGATGTATGCTGTCAGATAACATTAAACAAAAGAGCGAAAAGAAACTCATTGCTGACTTCGACGCTGTTTCATTATATCCATCAGCTATAGCAAGACTTTATACTTTAGAAGGTATTCCAAAGGTTATGAAGAAAGAAATGTTAAGCACAGAGTATCTCATGAGACATTTATTCGATGACGACCAAAAGGAACCCATTGGTGAAAAGTTTATGTCTGGCTTCTTTGTTCTCATTAAGATAACAGAGATTGGAATACATAGACACTTTCCTTTAATAGTTTGTGACCCTGAACTAAATCCAGAACTTAACGTTCCCAGAAGTTCAAACACTTGCTGTTTAATGTATGTTGACCATATAACATTACAAGACCTCATAAAATATCAAGGTGTCAAATGTGAAGTGTTGCAAGGATACTATTACGATGGAAACAGAGATATTAGAATAAGAGATGAAGTAAAGAAGTTGTTTGAGTTAAGGTTAAAGTATAAGAAAGAAGGAAATCCTTTGCAAGAAAATATAAAGCTCATTCTGAACAGTATTTATGGCAAAACTATTCTATCTCCTATTGAGTCAAAAATAACCATAGTAAATGACAAAGATGCTATAAGATATGCCATCAGAAACTACAACCATATAGTGAAGTTCGAAGGTTTGGATGGTTCAGATAAAACTATTTTCAAGCTAACGAAAAGCATTTGCAGACACTTTAACTTCTGTCCACTTGGTGTTAACATTCTGTCTATGTCGAAGAGAATAATGTGTGAAGTATTCTGTACTGCTGAGGACTTAGGAATGGACATCTTTTATAGCGATACGGACAGTATGCATCTCTACAATGAAGATATCCCTCGTTTAGCTGAAGAGTTTGAGAAACGTTATGGAAGAGTTCTCATTGGTAAAAACCTTGGTCAATTTCATAGCGACTTTGCAGAAATCACACCTGGAAAACAAAGTTTAGCATACAAGTCAATATTTTGTGGAAAGAAGACTTACATAGACTTACTCACGAATGATTTAAATGAAGTTGCATTTCACTGCAGAATGAAAGGCGTGAAGCAAGATGTTATTGCTTTAACCGCTAATGAAATGTTTCCTGACTCTGTTCAGTGTTTCTATGATGAAGATAAAGGTTTAATGGTTCCGCAAGGAACATATGACAAAGACTCTGAGTTCAGTTTAATGAAACTTTACAAAGCACTTTATGACGGTCAAGAGATTGGATTTGACTTATGTAAGTCATGTCAACCTTGCTTTGAAGAGAAGTTTAACTTCTCAATAACGACTAAAACAAGCTTTATTCGTAAGTTGAAGTTCTGAGGTCATTTATTTTTGTCAGCAATGAGGTCATTCGTGATAAAAATAAGCCCATGTGGTCATTTACAATACTGCGATGGTAGAGTTTAAGAGTTGTGCTTCAATGTAGAGACAGTCCTTATGGTCTGGAGGTAGCAAAACAGGTGCTTTATGGTCATGAGTGGAGAACATGTCTATCCAAAACTCACGATTGAAGCCAGTTAATTTATAGTATTTAGGGTTAGGAAGTGGTGAAGTTCTTGTATGACCAATGAACTCATTTTCAACTCCCTTACTTAAGTTTGAATATAATATAGCTTGCTTTCTATCCCAAATACCTGGAAATCTAATTTCGGAAAATTCATTTTTCCTCGGAAGCATTGCATCATAATTGAAAACATTCTTGAAATCATCACTTGGTTCAGAGATTTGAAATCTTATACGTAATGGATTTTTTTCTTTTTAGCTACTTCATTGAATGGTGAGAATACAATGAATTGACAGTCATGAGTTCCATCTTCATTTTCATTAAATTCATAATGAAAGTCTATAAGTTGTGGCTGACTACCTTCTTCTTTCAGTTGTGCAAGAAACTCACGTAAAGGCTGTAAAGTTTGTACTTCAATGTTAAACTTTTTCTCGAACATCTCATTAAATGAAATCATACATTGTTGCAATGTTGTATCGTCTTTAAAGTATTTGTATATGTGAATGTTTTGGGCGCTTAAAGACTGTTCGTCATTTTCTATCTCGACTTGAAGTATAAAGTCAACCTTTCTGAAAGCACGTGTTATATACATAGATGTTATGCCAATGTACTTCTCTTCATTTATGTTCACAATCCAGTCTGTTGGAAACTTAAACGTTACTCTGTTCCCCTTTATTTTGACGTCAGGGTTTTCACTACTGAACGCAACAGATAAAGGTATTTGTCTATACATTTAATTCGGATAAAAATAAACCATTTACTCTTTCTTTGCTTCAGCTTCTTTAGCTTTTGCTTCAGCTTCTTCTCTAGCTTTCTTCGCCAGCAAACGTGGGTTCTTTTGTCTTCCAGCAGCTAATGCAGCAAGTTGTTTTTCACTAAGTTTTCTCTTTGGTCTCTCTGGCTTTTGTTCTTGTTTTTGTTCCTTCAGTTCGGATAAAATTTGCTCACGAATTTCTTTCTTCAATGCTTCAACATCTATGACCCCTTGGGTCTTGTCCGTAGGGCTTGTCTGAGTCATTTGACTGCAGATAAAAAACAAAATTAAAACTTTAACCGATGTAAAATGAGCTTGTCAAAATCAGAGCGAGAGTCTATTATATTAAATGACGCAAGAGGAATACAACATCCTTTCTATTACGTAAGTCAGAGTAAAGATGGTAAAATATACGTAAGAAAAAGAAAGGTTCCATTAGCGAATGCAGAAAGCGACAACATTAAGGTGTATGGCAAGGGTGAAGTCCACGAAGCCCATATAAAACCTTCTGTTCAAACTGAGTCAATAGAACCAGAAGAAAAGAAGCCAGATGTACTTTCAATAACGAACCAAGAGCTTATTGCAAAGTTCGTGAATTTCATTGAAAAACAAACCGAGTCAAAGAACCCTGACCCACCAGTGAAAGAAGTTGAGACAAAAGAGAATGTACAGTTCATTGAAAATGTCAAGAAACAACTTCCACCACGAATGCCAAGAAGAAGAGTGAGAATAATGAAGTAAATAGATATTTTTATCTGAAGTAAATACATGCAGAACGAACAGCTAAACGAATTTACTCCAGCAGAGCATATTCATCAGATTCGCTCATATTTCGATATCATAGACAATGCAGTTCAAATTGGTGACACTAATAGAAAATATTCTGACGCAAAGATTCCATCACAACCTGGAACTGCTAAAGATAACACATGGGTAACATTCAATCTCTCACCTCCTGGTGAAAATATGTTGGACCTTTACAATACATTCATTACGTATAAAATGGAAGGTCAATTTATTGTAGATAAAGAAATTGGTTCAGGTTCCAATAAAACAAACCCACCAGGATTTTGGATTGGTTTCGATGACGCTTTCTATGCAGTTGCTGGATATCAAATCCTTGCAAATGGTCGTATCGTATATTCTCAAGACAACGCAAGAGAAGAAGCATATATAACTTCAAACTCACAAACTACCGAACAAATAAAGAAAGTAGATGTTTTCTCAAAGACTCGACATGAAGATGTATGGAGTCATTCGGGAACATGCAGAACAGGACAAATTGTTAGTGGTCCAATTACAGCAGGAAAATCATTTGATTTTAAGCTTCGTTTAAGAATTCCTGTTAGAAGATTCCTTCCATTAGAAGCTATTCGATTTATTCCAGCTTTTGCAGGAAACATTCAGCTTAAAGTAAAGTTCAGTAGCGACGCCTTACAATGCACATCTATATCTGTAAATGATATCATTGCTTTCAATCCAACTCTTAAAGTTGCATTTGCTTCAGATTCAAATCCACCGACAAATAAATTTGTTCCATGGAATGAACCATTCACTATGATAACGAAGGCAGTAGAAGCTAGTGGAACAGTTACTATTACAACTGTAACCCAGCAACTATTTCGAACAAAGATGGATTTTAATGAATGTTTCATTCATCCAAAGTCATTCTCTTTAGACCCTAACATTTATACAGAACTTGTAGAACATTATACAAACGAGGCTTTATGTTTTCCTGTTAAAGTTATGGATTGGATTCCTATGGACGGTTCATTCTCAAAGAATACAGATAGTTCAAGTGCAACATTTACAGCAGCTTATACGCCTATTAATGTTAAAAGTATTTGGGCACTATTTAGAAAGAAAGACAACTATTATGTTAATTTTGAGAACCCTAAGTTTAAATATCTTCAGCTTTCCATGGGAGCTTATGGAAATATGCCTGCAGAACCTGAAAAATCATATGGACCTGTATTTTATGAAATGGTTGCGAACCTGCAATACAAACAATGATATGATAGGATTTAATGAAGATGTTATGAGGTCATTGGTGGATGATGGTAGTGTGGAACATAAATGGGATAGCTATGACAACACACATTTCTTATGTGGTTTTCCAACAGAAGTGGACTTTTGCTTCCAGCAAGGTCAAACATCTACTGCTCCAATAACATACAAATTGTCTGTTAAAGGACCTATTGAACTAGCAACTGAAAACGTACCAAAGCCACTTATTGGATTTATGAGGGATTGTTGCTTTGCCATTCAGGTGCGTACTAATGGCATCCCCATAATAAGATTAGATGACTATAACTTAGCTACGGACGACAGTGAGGAATAAAGGATGAACGTTTATTTTTAAAGCTTATAAATGAGTTCTTCATCAAGCTCTCGTGAACCTTCACCATCTATGAAACAAACTTTACCAAACGATTATGGAGCACCTATTGAATATTTCTTACGAGCTGCACAATGGCAAAGAGCAGTCTCACCAAGGTTAGGTGTTCCACCAGCTCCTGTCAAAAATAGCATTTGGTCAAGTCCTTATATAAGATATGGTCTCCCACTAGGTTTGCTAGCTACAGCAGGAGCAGTTATGATGTTGAAAAGAAATAAAGCAAATGTTGTAAATAATACTGAAGTAGCTGAAGTTAAACAAACTCCAACACCTTCACAAGCAAAACCTTCAATGACTCCTGAACCTATGGAAGTACAAACTCCTGTTCAAAAGTCAACTCCTAAACCGACTCCAACATTTAAACCAGAACCTACTCCTCAAATAAATCGTAAAACTCCTGCGTTTCCTTACTGAAAAAATAACGTTATTTTTATTTAATATTAAAATTTTTATTTGATTGAAATGACGACTAAAGTCACTGAAGCAATGAAACAAAAGTTTTTGGTAGAATACATTAAATCAGGAACTATTCCAGAAGGTTTTTACATTCATACTATGAAGGATGGTAGAGTTCAGTTTAGAAAGATAAAGCAACCATTAGATAAAGAAGGAATTTTGAGAAAGATTAAACTTCATGAGGACAACATTGCTGAACTTAAGAAGAAGTTAGAAGAGTTGGAGAAAGGAAGAGAGTTATAAAGCAATGAATTCAAGTGGGTGAAAAAACAGGTGAAAAAAGAGGTGAGATCTCACCACTTCACCTAAATTTATTTTTGTGCTATGTTTTCATACGTGTGGGAGTGGTGATATCATTTATTTTTAAGTTTATTTTTTTTATTTTATTTTTATATAAATGACGAAAACTATTGAGATAACAAACTACAACGGTCATGAGTTCAAGAATTTGTTCTTCGTTCCTCGTGAAAATACATTCTATCAGATACGAGGGAGAAAGGGTAAAGTTAGTTTGAGCGTTTATGAAGGAATGAAGAATGGAAAGTTTATACAAGCATACGATACAAACGGTAAACGTGTTTCATTAGCTTTGTCAAAACTTACTAACATTTATTTTGACAGTGACTTTGACTCTGACGATTGGAGCGACAGCAGCGATACTGAAGAATATGAACTATTGTGTGAAGCACAGCAATGGGAAGAGTTGCAATACTTTTGTAAGTGAGAACGTTTATTTTTTACAGTAGTGAAGTCGTTTGTGAAAACGTTAGTGAAGTGAAGTGGTTGGCGGCTTTGTAAATATTTAAGGTTAAGTTGGTGTTGTCGTTTGTGTTGTAAAATATACGTTAACAGTTTTGTAAATTGTCAAAACAGCTAAGTGGTGTACTGAGACACTGCGCGCCTCCATACACAAGATATGTATACTAACTTTCGCCGAGCAAATTAAAAATTAACGTATGGATTAAATTTTAAGAGGAATTCAATTTTAATTACGGGTTGTTCAAATATTGATTAATATAAATTTATTAATAAGAATAAACAATTTTTGTTTTTGAATTTATTCAATTTATAGCTTTACATATGGTTTCAAAATTGTACAACTATGATTATTTCAACAAAAAATATCTTACTTTTTCACTTCACTTTCACACTCACTTTTTCCGTAATTCAAATTTCAACATTATGTATTTTAATTCCTTATAGTATTTTTAACATAATTAATCAAATAATAATTGGAAGTTCTGAACTCACTTTTTCCGTAATTCAAAATCAAAAATATGAATAATATATCTATTTATTATATACTAATGCTATTTTCAACTAGAAGTGAGGTACGGTAATCTTACGGATTCCCGTAACTCAATTTTACGGAAAAAGTGCAATAAACTACTCAATTTACGGAAAAAGTGTCGTAAACTATTGATGTGGCGGTAAAATCACGGTAATTCACGGAAAGCTATATGCGAAAATTTGAAATTATACAAAATCGAGCGAAACACTTTTAAATAGGTTGTTCTCGTATTTAAAATACTATTCCCAGATTTATTGTCGTCAGAATATTTCCAAATTTTTGCCGATTTACAAAAAATGATTTACAAAGCATATTTTTTAATCTAAAAAATTCCTTAAAAAAGGAACCGGTGTGCGGAAACCTCGGTAAATTACCGCGGTTCCCGTTGGGACTGCCATAGAATTTATATACTATTCATCTATTAGTAAACACTACCGTATATTATTTTTTAAGCTATCTTATTTTTTGAACTTTTATTCAAATCTTTGGTCGCAAGAAGAATTGCATGATAAATAAAAACATTTAATCAAAGTCAATTTTATTTTTCATATTCAAATGGACTGAGTGTTAACATTTAACATTTTTTGCTAATTGTCGTCAAAAATTAGGCGTAAAGCAAAAATTGATATTTCATATAAAAAAAAGGTAGTGGGGCTTCCAGGCGCGTTGCGCCCTCTAGCCCATAAAAAATTTCTGAGGACGAGCCAGCCGTTGACTTTTTTGTAGAGCACTCAAAATAGTATAACTTTGTCCGGACAAGTAAGGGTCTATCGTCGCTACAGGAAAAGTTACAGGCGTTCCAAGGAAGTATACTTTGAGAAGCCTTTCCCCCCTTATAGAATGAGATAGGACGGTTATTTTACAAAACTTACAACATTTTGACCGAGTAGTTTTTTGAGCTGAACAAAAAGTGTCATATAAACATCTGTCAAAAACCGCTTTTTAACTTCACTTAAAATGCCACGTAAGCTACGTAAGAATATACGTAAGAGGAAGGGAGCATTGAAACATCCAATAGTAAAACTGACACCACAACAACAGTTGCAACAACAAATGATGAATGACCCCACTATGTTGCAACAAATGTCAAGCAACCCTATGCTTTTAAACCGAGTTATTGGTGCACAGAGTGGAGGTTTAAGAGCGGCACTTTTAGCGAAATGGCAGGCTATGGTGGAGCTGCAGACGGAACAGCTATATAACCCTCAAAGTCAAATGAATTTGAGTTCACTCAAAAATCAAATAACAGATGTCAAAAAGTCAAACATAGACATACAGAAACAAATAAGTGAAAACGAAAAGAAACTAGAATATGACAGACAGACAAAGAAACTAAATGAGTTAAACGTAGAGAAAAGAAGAAAGAAGAACAACTGAAAGAACTAAGTACAGAGGAATATGCGAAAAAAGTGTCAGAAAAAGCAGCAGAAGTAGCAAAAATGGAAACAAGATGTTATAAATTTGAAAAACCATACTACTCAATATAAAGTACTGAAAGATGAAGAGAGATAAAACAAAAAGCCCTGAAGACATATATGGATAGCGATGAGTATAAAAAAGAAGTTGAAGCAAATGTAAAGGCAGAAAAAACTTTTACAGTTGCAAAACCAAAACCGTACAGTATGAAAACTTAGCACAAGAAAGTAAAAATAACGACGCAGCCATGCAAAAGGCAATGAAAAGCGCAGATATTATAAAAGCTAATAATGACTGGTTAGATGCCAAGCCAACGCTAAAGCAGCCCAACTTATAGGGTCAATAAGGACAAAAATACAAGCGGATTGAAGACAGTTCAAATGAAGCTTTAATGAATGCTGACTTTAAGAATGCCTTCGAAGCTCTTCATAGTAAGGTGAAACTAGTGAACGATTTCTCATCTGGAAAGAAACTGAAGTCTGAAGGTTTCGACAAAGAGTTAAGAGAAGTAGCCACAAAAATATGACGAAAAATAACAGATGCAGCAACGAGAAGGCAGTTCAAAGTTGCCTATGACGCCGTTAGAAGCAACTGTTGTGGAAAGTCAAGAAAAAGAGTTACAACAGACCAAAACAGACCTAGTAAATGCTTTCTTAAGAACGAAAAGTCAGGTAGGACATTATGCTGCAGATGGAACATATGTGCCAGCTGGTGGAACTTATATACCACCAAACCCTCCAAGAGAAGCACCTGCACCAGGACTATCTAAAACATTTACATCGTCACATGGACACAGACACAGGCATGCACCAAAACCAACACAACAACCAACAGTTCAAAATCCAGCACCACAACAACAACCAAAACCAACAGTTCAAAATCCTGCACAACAACCAACAGTTCAAAATCCAGCACAGCAACCAACAGTTCAAAATCCAGCACCACAACCAAAACCAGCACAACAACCACCTCCACAACCAGCACAGCAACCAACAGTTCAAAACCCTGCACAACAACAACCACAAACAGAGCAAGGACATAAAAGAAGAAGAGAAAAAGGAAACCAAGAATTCTTAAAAATGCTTAAGGAAGATTATGGTTACCAAGATACTCTTGACTTTAGTGACAGATATAAAGAAGCTATTAGAAAGTTCAAGGAAGGAAATACTGACCCGAACCTATTTAGCTTTATGGTTCAGCATCAAATCGGATATAATCTCAAACATGGAAAATACAAGCTCGCTAAGGGATATGATTTAATAGCATATCATCCAAATGACATGAATGAATTTACTCCGAGATATTTGATGTCAGAGCTAAATGATAATTCAACTCTCTTCATGAAACGCGGAAAAATAGAGACGGAACGAAAGAAGAAAGGTTTATGAGTCCGGATGACTTAGATAGGGAACTTGTTAAAAACGGTCTCGGAATATATGAAATGCCAGCAGATGAGGTACAAGAAACTCAACAGGAAGAAGTTCAGATACAACCAGACATGGAAGAAATAGTTCAGCAACAACAGCTAGAAGAGCCTGAAGGAAACGAACAAGTCCCTCCTTTGGAAACTAACTTCACAGAACTAGATGAAGATTTGGAACAGCCGAAAAATCTTGACCCTCAACAAGAGTATGCGGAGAATATGGAATCTTTCCAAGAGTCTAAGAAAAATTCGGCTGACATAGTAGAAGAATATCGAAAAATGTTCACCGACATACAAAAGACTCCAACATCAGATGAAAATATTCAGCATAGAATGGAAGTACTGAAAGAAAATGTACGCAAATACAATAATCCTTTTTACTTACGACCATATAACATTCAATCTTTGGCTGAACTTGGTGAAAATAAAAGGTTAAATTTCAACAAAACATATAGAAATGAAACATTGTTTAAAGTTCATTCAGAACCTAACCAATATGGAAACAAACCTACTTTTGTTTCTGCAGACTATGGAACTACAATGAGATGGGGTCATAAAGCTAATCCGGATAGGTGGTTCATAAACTTACAACCTCAATTCCAAGAAGTTGTAGACGCAATGGAAGTGAATGGTAAACCAGATATAGCTGGTATTTTCAGCGCGGCTTTAATGCCATTGAAAGATATGAAAGATGCAGATATTTTGGACCAGTATGAAATGAACATGACTGAGGGAAATATAACACCTGACGTTCTAGAACATTTATCTCAAAGAACTATACAGAACCATAGAGATGGTTTATTTGGTGAAGAGTTTAGAAAGAAAGTTAGGGAGAGAGAAGGAAGAGAACCTATTGTACATGACCTTGCAAACGAAAGTTTGCAAAATGTCATAAAAACTTACTTTGCAGACAATGAACCGAGAAGGGATGAATATTTAAGAAAACTCAAATGGACAGTACCAAATGAAATGTTAGTATTGAAAAACATGTTCCATGACAAAATAAAACCAACTACAGAAATAAATGACGCAAGACTGAAGCGTTGGGTAAAAGCTTTCCCATTCACAAAAGATATTATTGGTAACATGGAAAGAAAACCAGAATGGCTACAAAAACATATATTTGGAAACGAGCTTATTCCATATGGACAAGCTCTGTTTGAAGAGCTTGAACCGGAAACTCAGGAAAGAGTCATGCAAACAATAAGCGAAGACTCAAATACAAACTATGACAAAATCTTTCTAGGATATAGGTTACCTGAGATGGGCGACCAGAGCCCAAAGGCAAAAAGGACATGGGAAATTTACAACATACTAGGTGAACATGAGGCAAAGATGCAACAACTTGAAGCAGAGAGCAAGTTACCAAAAGCGACACCAAAGAAGAAGAGAAGAGTAGAACAAAGTGAAAGTAGTGAAGAAGTAACTTCATCTAGTGAAAGTAGTGGCAATGAAGGAAAAAGAAGAGTTAAAAACTCAGTCAGGAAGAAAGTAAAGCTTGGTCCGAAACAATTATGACAAATAAATCCAACTATTCTATATTTTTACCCATATGAAATGTACGCCGCTCAGAATATAACACCAACAGTTTTGGATGCCATGAACGGAAATGTTTCCGAATGGTATAACGAATGCGACAATGCCATTAGAAGGTCAGAAATAGTTCCTGGAACTTACGAATATACAACTGCTGTTTCTTATGGAAACGTAGGTGAGTTTGGAGAAGGTTCTTCAACAACAGTAGATATTGCTTGCGACAGGTTTCACATTATTTCTATTGACAACTCATTCTTATACGTGGAACAAGACATTGAAATAAAACCTTCTGCCAAGTTGTCTGACAAGAAAGGTTGCAATGGAATTTTCTATGTCGGATACCAATATGCTCCAGAAGTTTTCATGGGATATAAGATATATTCTAACTCTGACTTAGTTCAAACAGTAACATGGGCAAACTATGAATGGTTCGCTTTGAGAAACTCAGTACAACCCAAAGCTAGAGAACAAACAGACCAGTATGCAACTATTGAGAAAATAAGAAGACTTGACCCTAACGTTCCAGGAGTTTATGTTAACCTTTCTGGACAAACTGCAGCAGCAGTAACCAAAGTAAAACTGAAACTTAGAGTTCCTTTGTCATCTTTCCTCATCTTCAGGTTTTTAAGATACTTGCCAAACTGGGCAGGAAAAATTTCTATCGAACTTACTCCAAGCAAAAATAACTTAGTCATTGCACCAACACAAGACCCATTCAGCATTACTGTAGCTGGAACTGGTGGAGCCAAGTTCTGTGACTTTTGCAAAGACAAAGTTGACTTAGACTTTGGTTTCTCAAACCTCAACACTGAAGTAAACTATTATTTCAATGCTGCTGGAGATGTTTGGGACCCAGTTAAGTTCACATGCGAACAGTTTGAATGCAAGAGAATAGAAAGCAGACTTGCCGTTTATATGTTGGACCCAGATATTTCAAATGCTTTAGCTGCCAAATATATTGCAGTTCCACTTATGTTCCCTATACACCAAATATCTGTCAAAGACTTTGCAGGTGAAGTTGGAAACCAAAATCCAGGAGCCGCAGGTGCAAGAACAGATATTGCTTTAACAACTGCAATGAAACATGCAGATACTATGTTTGTACTGTTCAGACGAACTATAAATGACTATTCTTGTTTCTACAACCCTGGTATTAAATATCATATAAACATAGATGGCAAATATTATCCAAGAGAAGAATATTCTACAGTTGAGGATATGAGGTCATACAACTTGACATTAGATGCTATGAACTTTAACAACAACTTCACAACAACTATTAACCCTGAAATGCAAAGTTCTATTATGCCATATGTGAAAGTATGGACTCATACAGGAGGTCAAAAAACTCAATATACAAATGGAGACCGTTCAAACTTTTGGCTTGGCATTCCATTTGCTGACTCAGAAGACTTTATGGGTGGTATTTCAACTGTTGGTACAGTTCAAATACAATATACTGGTGACAGAGACGGTCCAGATGAATTGAGAGCAAAGAAGTTTACAAAACCAATAGCACTTTTCACGGAAGATGCTCTTTTGAAGATTCGTTCGATGAAACCTGCTGGGGCTCCTCAGATTGGCATAACGACAGCTTCCATCGAGCAGATTTTGGCAGCAGGTCAGTAAGTTGTTCTTGAACTGACTTCTCTCCGTCAAATATTGACAGTACGCCAGTTTTGACATAATATTGTATTATAAACTTTCCTTTAGTAATATCTGTAAGTTTTGAAGTTATATTTTTGTCTGCTTCAAGAACTTTCACCATTTCAGTTATACCAACTTTCTTTGCTTTATGAAAATATTTTGGTTCAGCAAAGACTGCTATTCTATAACATTTTCCATTGTTTGTGTAAAGAACTATTCTGTCAATGTATTTGTATTGTTTGTGAGTATAAACTTTGTTCTGCTTCAATTCAATAAGATATCCGAATGCGTCCATCTTTTTATTCTAAGTAAAATGTCATTTCCGAAAAATAGAAGCGTAAGTGTTTCAAAAGGTTTAATGGCGGTGGCAGATGTGAAGTTAAATTCACCAACTCAAACAAACAGTCAAAGTGTTGTTGTCAATGTCAAAGACAGAGATGTTGAAGTGGGGAAACCATACGAAGACGAAGATGGTATAACAATTGTTCCTGTAAAAGAACCAACATATCCTGAAGTTAGCAGAGACTTAAGTTCTGTTGCAGATATTCGAAACGACTACCAACAACTGAAAGACAAACTTAAAACTCAGGAGAAGATTTGTCAAGCTTTAAGTATAATGTTAAACTTGGTCGAACACAACCCTGTAAAAGTGAACTCATATGTCATTGCACCTCATGAAGTTTTGAAAGAACTATTGAAACTTTTGACAGAGGCAGACGATATAAACATCAAAGAAATAGAACCCGACCTTAGTTGCTGTGGTGTTTCATATAATGTCATTGACAAGATATACGTTATGAAAGGAGGTGAAACGTTGAACTTAAAATATAGTTTCCCAGACGTTATAAAAATATTTGACGACCACAACATTTCATTAAAGTTTATTTGCTAAGTAAATGGCAGAAGACATAATGGTTTATACTATTACGACTAAAAACCCTGAGTCATATAATTCTATAACAACAAACTTACAAAGTCCTCAAGGACGATATTGTAAACTAACCTTAAACACAATGACGACTAAAGCCTGTTTTGCTCTTTTGACACCAGAAGACTTTATTGTTGTGAATGGTAAAAAATACTCCTTTGAAGATACTTACTCAGATATACCACCAACAGGTTTTGTTGACTTATTTAATACTTTAAGTACGGGTGTAACATGTGCTGCAACTAGAGCAGGTTTCATTATGTTTGGATGTCCGACCGAGTTTAGTATAAACGATATGAGCTATAATACAAAACTTATTTCTGGTTTTTACTACCAACAGTTTCCTATAACAGGAAAAGGTGTCATACAAGGAATGTCTATTCCATTGACATTAAGCACACCAATCTTATATATTGTTTCAAACTTAGGTTCAAAGTGTTATTCGAATGTCGACAGAAACTATTATGACCAAAAGATACTTATGCGTATAAACAATACTTTCTCTGCTGGTTTGCCTATTGTTCATTCGAATGCAGAATTTTCAACCTTAGTGAACTCAAACACTTTGGCAAGTATAACGTTGACATTAGTTGACGCAAACTTTGTTCCTGTAAAACTTTTATGTCCTATGTATTTGTCAATGACGGCAGAAAGTTTCGAATTGGAAGATGCAACTGGTGAAAGTATTGTATTACAAGAACAACTTCAACAACAAATAGCTCAAGAACAACAAATGCAACAAATGGAACAACAAAGTCAAGAATAAAAAAATAATATTTTTTTTATTTTTATAAAAATGTACAGAATAGATGTTTCAGATTTTTATGACTTCCAAGCATTCAGAAATATGTGTCCATTTAGAGACTATAACAAAGCAGTCGAGAATTTTAAACGTTTAGTCATTTATGTTGACTCTGCTCCAGAATGTTATGTCATGAAAGAATGGGATGTTGTCTTTAACAAACCAAGAGCAACAATAGTGTCTGAACAAGAATGTAGACAGAAACTTAAGAAAATAAAAGTTGTACAAGTTGGAATGAAGATGTTAGATGCTTGGGATATCTTATTGTCAAAGTTAGAAGATTTTTCAGTTCGTGGTATAAAGTTTTATACACCTTCTCCAAACTTCTATTCTATCTTCACTGGATATAAATATGAACAAGTAGAATGGAAACACAGTATTATAGAAGCTTGGTTAGACCATGTCAAAGAAATTATATGCAATGGAAACGAAAAGGTTTATGAGTATATCTTATGTTGGTTTGCAAACATCTTACAACATCCAAGTGCTAAAAATGAAACTGCTCTCATTATAATTGGAAAACAAGGAACTGGTAAGAACACATTCTTTACAGATATCTTATGCAAACTGTTAGAAGGTTATTCGAATCCGAATATGACAAACTTAGAAAACATCTGTGGTAAATTTAACTCTTCAATAGAGAATATGAAACTTATAGTTTGCAATGAACTTCAAAGTATAGATACAACAAAAGTTTTGAACTCAGATGCTTTGAAGAGTCTTATAACAGATAAAGTTGGAGTTGTTGAAAGAAAGTATAAAGACCAAAGAGTTTGTGAAAATGTTGCAAACTTCATTATGGTTTCAAACAATGCTGTTCCGATGAAGTTAGAAAGTTCTGACAGAAGATATGTAGTTGTCAGAACGTCAGATTCTCATATGCAAGATACAGAATATTTTGACGCTTTGTCAGAATGTTTGACATCTGACTTTTACAACCATTTGTTCTCATATTTCATGACATTAGATATTTCTAAGTTCAATCCAAGACAAATTCCACATACCGAAGAGAGACAAACATTGTTAGAAGCAAACAAGAGTGTATATGAACTGTTCATAGATGAAACTGACTTTGTGTCATTAGATGAAAGGTCATTGTACGATTCGTATAAACAATATTGTCAAGAATATGGTTATATGGCAGCTTCTAAACGTACATTCTTGGCAAATGTCAAAAGTCTTTTAGATGTTCAGAATGGTATATATACAAAGAAAAATTTTTCTGAGTAAATTTTAAAAAAATATTTTTTATCCGATAGAAAAGATGACGAAATATATTTCAGTAAACAAGTACATGTCAGGACTTAAAGAAGAACTAGAACCATTCGCTTATTTGAATGTTTACTTCTACCATTTTGAAAAGTCTTCATTCAGCAAAGTTTGGAACATCGAACCAGTTAAGTTTGCTATTGTGACTAAAAATGGTGCGAAATTTGAAGACTTATACATTGACGGTATGTTGACAGTCAAAGAAAATTTTGACAGAAAGTTCTCAAACCTTAAAGAAGGCAAAGCATACAAACTTGTTATACCTTATGAACCAAAGAAGACAGACGACTATGAATATTATGAGTCTAAAGTTGTAGAAGTTCAAGGTAAATTGGGTAAAAAGATTTTAGAGTCTAAGCCAGTGTTTACTCCTAAAGAGGAAGAGAACATTGACATTGACCCAGAAATGTTCTAAAAATAAAATTTTATTTTTACATGTCATATCTCCCCTTCTCTGGAACTGGTTCAGGTTCTTTCTTCTCTTCTTCTACTTTCTTTTCTTTCTTTTCTCTCTTCTTCTTTTCTGGTGGAGTTATGTCAAATTTGGCGCAACTATATTTATGTAAAAGTTCTTTGTCCTTTAATAGCTCATCTATTCTGTTTTCTATTTCATCTTCAAGAACAGCGCATGTGTCTTCTTTGCATTCTAAGAACTTTTGTTGGACTTCATCTTTCCAATCGGCGTCATCTCTGTCAACAAGTCTGTCATTGACAAATTTTAAGACTGCTCTTTGTAATGTTTTATGGTTCTTGTCATATTCCAGAAACAGAACTTTAGAACAAATTCCCCTTTCTTGTTTACACTATGTAAGATTTTATGGTCGACAGATGTTTTGCTGTCAAAAAGTTTGTCTCGAATATAGATAGCGAAATCGCTAGACATTTTCTAAAAGATAAAAATTTTAATTTTTCTAAAAATATGTTAGAAAAAAAGTTTGCTGACATTGACAAGAAATTTGAGAATGTTTTAAACAAGAACAAGAGGAAGTTAGAAAATGCTCAGATAAAGCCTATACATGACAAGTTCTTATTTGCTCAGAATGGTATAACAGGTCTAATTGCACCACCTGGGTCGGGTAAGACTTTCACTTATCTTAAAATGGCTGCACAACAACAAGAACTAGATGAGAAGAACCCATTCTATGAGTTAGTTGTTATTTGTAGTACTTCTGGTCAATTTGACCAAACCGTCAATTCGTTCAAAGATATTATAAAGAAGTCTAAGTTAGTATGTATAAAGGATACTGAGTTGTTAGATTGGATAAAGAAGTACCAAAGAAGAGTTTTGAAGTATAATGCTATAAATGAGTATATAAATTCTAAGTTTAAAGACCCAAATGAGGAAATGCAGAGAATATTAGAGAAGAAACACTTCAGAAACAAACAGAAAGAGATAGAATACATTTCGAAGAAATTGCAATCTTACGATTGGAAGACTTACCCTCATAGATGTCTTCTTATTTTAGATGATTTCGCCTCTCATCCTTTGTTAAAGAACAGAGAACAAGATATGTGTCGAATTCTTAAGAAGCTCAGATACTTTAACATTTCAGTCGTAATATGTGTACAGACAGCAAAGAGTTTAAGTAAGGATGTTAAAAGAATACTTACTGACATAATACTTTTCCCGGATTGTCCGAAGACGATTTCATGGAACTTATGAAAGAGTCCATGGCAGGTAAGTTTGACAGACATGAACTATGGGAGAAGTACAAAGTCATACAAGACCCTCATACTTCTTTCAGAATTCATATCTACGCAAACAAAGTTCAAATTGTAAAAAGTCAATAAAAATAAAGAGTGCATCTACCCTACTTGTTTGAAGTTGTCAAAATACTCTGTTATTTTTTCTTTCAGTAGCGGTAAGTCTTCTTTGAATGTAAGTATTGTACAACCTTTCATATCATAGTGTGTTTGAGGTAACGTATCTTGAACTATTTGTTTCACATCTTCATTTGGGGTCATTGAAATCGGTAAGTTTTCGCGATAGAACCAATTTCTGTCAGATTTGTAAATCTTAGCAAGGTCGTAAAAGCTTTTGTTGTTTCTTCTGACTAAATGTAACATAACCATGTCACTGTCTTCTTCTTTCTCCAACTCTTCAGTATAAATCATATACTTATAGTTCTTTTCCTTTCCTTTTGGTACCGAACATGGTATTCTTTTCTGAATGCTTTTGTCTTTTGCTTCAAGCTTGTTTTCCATCTCTTCACGTTCTTGTCTATGAATTTCGTCAAGAAGTCTGTAAATATACCAAGCATAACGAGGCGAAGCCCACATTGCAACAGCATTTACAAGAAGTCTATGTACATAATATCCTCTCAAACCGTTTGGCAATTTTTCACGATTTTCATAGAGTTTTGGCGATTGGGGTTTTTCTCCCACTCGAGTTTTTGCGACTACGGGATTTCTCGTAGTCGAATTTTCAGCTTCATTTAATAGTTCAATAGTGCTTTGGTTCCTAAACCAGTCTTGTGGTTTCTTATTGTCGGGTGCAAAACATGCTGTCAAAATACTTTGCATTTGGTACATATCGTCTTTGACCGAACGAATGAGACGGAGTTGTTTGTTAAACTGTATGTACTCGTATTCTTCATTTATAGCTTCATGGACTATAACTGTTGTTGTGTTCTCTGTTGTTGACATTACTGTCTTTACATACAAAATAAAAAAATAAATAAAAATAAAACTAACTTTATTTTTTCTATCTTAAGGAAATTCATTATTTTTGTGCTGAATTCAATAAAAATATATTTTAGGTGAAGAGGTGAGATTTCACCTCTTTTTTCACCTCATTTCTACCCCAGTTATTTTATAAACGTTTCACATGGTAAACGTTATTTTTTAAATTTTGTGAAAACTCAACGGTTTGACACATGCCCTAAAAATTATTTTACTCAGAATTTTGTTGCTGAATTCAGCAAAAATATATTTTAGGGTAGATGGTTAGATCTAACCCGATATCTACCCTCATTTCTACCCCAGTTATTTTATAAACGTTTCACATGGTAAACGTTATGAATTCGTGAGACTCTAAACAGTTTTGTAGCTTCTATTTCTTCTTTTAGTACATCGAATGTTTTAACAATGCCGAAGGTTTCTTTATACTTCTTCTTGACGTCAGATAATAGGAAATCGTCAGCAGTTGGATAGTTTTTGTTCAGAAATGCTAACATGTCCATTTTATTTTCTGCTGGTTTTTCTGCTTCTTTCTTTAAGTCTGCATAGTCGTTTCGCATACGTTCTATCTCTTTGACGGAGTAGTTATATTTCCTCATTGCTGCTTTACATTTAGAACATTGCGGATTCATTTTTGCGTTATACATTGAAATAAAACCAGCTAGAACAACCAAGGCGTCAATGGTTTTCTTTAAATCTGAAGCAGTTGGTTTTATCTGTTCATTCCATACCTTACCTCTTCTATCTTTATCTCTTATCTGCCATACACATTTTGCAGCTAATGAAACAAAGTTGTCGTATGTCTTAAACTCCCCAGATTTATATATGTCAGAGATGTTCTTATATACCATGTCGCAATCTTTGTCCATAACTTTATGGTTGCAATGAAAACCAAGGAATTCATAATTTACCTTTCGTATGAACTTCTTTATTTCTACTGAGTCAGTTGCTTTGACTTCAATTTCGTCGAATTCAGGAATAGTGAGCTTTTGCTGCTGAATTTCAGGTAGTTTAGGCAAATGGTCGATGAGGTCCTCCATTTCATAAAGATACTGTTCATTTGTTTCATCTTTCGCACTACAGTCTAAATTACTTGTTAAAAGTTCCTGCTTTATTCTTTGTATTTCTGTTTCGAAAGTAAATGAAGAAGGAATGAAGCTTTTCATCTCTACTAACATAGATGTTGGATTCATGACTAACGAGTTTGGTGCTGTTGTTTGAATTGTTGTTGTGCCGATTGTTGAAATCATATCTTACATACAAAATAAAAAAAATAAATAAAAATAAAACTAACTTTATTTTTTCTATCTTAAGGAAATTCATGAAAATTCAAGAGGGTAGAAATGAGGGTAGAAATGAGGTTAGATCTAACCATCTACCCTAAACATTATTTTTGCTGAATTCAGCAACAAAATGAACGAGGTCAGGATGTATGTAAATACCTTTGAATTCATTTATAACGCCCTTAGTAAGCTCATAAAATGCTTGTTTTGAGGTCGAGCCACTTTTGGCTCCACCGTATTCTTTCAACCAAAACTCAAGAATTTCCTGCATGAATTTTGTATAAAAAGCAACCGCCGGAATTCAGACTGTTGCTATATTCTTCACAAAACGCCTTATAATACTCTTCCCAGGACTTATTTTCCAACAACTTTCTAAAGTCTTTCCTAAACTGACTGACTGACTGACGGCACAAAGTGGCTTAACGAAAACATTAATATATAAAATTCATGAAAATTCAAGAGGGTGAAAAAACAGGTGAAATCTCACCTCTTCACCTAAATTATATTTTTTGGTCCGGGAACAACTTTCTCTCAATTGGAGCTGTAGCATACTCTTTGCGTAAGCGGTTCAGACCTTCTTCGAAGTCTTGGTCTCTCTTGGACTGAGATTGGAATTGATGGGGTGGAGCTTGCTGGAACATCCAAGGGTTGGGGAAGTAAGGCATAGGCTGAGGAGGGTAGTTCGGGAAGCCTTGTGGTGGGTAGTAACCTTGAGGTGGAAATTGGTAGTAATTCGGAGGTCCTTGCTGGAACTGAGGTTGCTGAGGAGACTGTTGTGGTTCTTTAGGTTCCTCTGGTTTGGGAATGGACTCGGTTGGTGGTACGTCGGACATTCGTTTGTGGCTTAACCGTCGGACCACAACGATAAAAATCTCTGCTACTAGCAGTACTTTTACTGACAGTAGCAGTACTTTTTCTGACAGTAGCAGTACTTTTTCTGACAGTAGCAGTACTTTTTCTGACAGTAGCAGTACTTTTACTGACAGTAGCAGTACTTTTACTGACAGTAGCAGTACTTTATCGTCGAAAACCCTCTCAAATTTTCCTTTTTACTGACAGTAGCAGCAGTTTTACTGCTACTAGCAGTACTTTTACTGACAGTAGCAGTACTTTTTCTGACAGTAGCAATGGTCGAGGTCGAACCTACCGACGAGGCAATTTACCTAATTGAAATTAACGAGCTTGTTAAAGACTTCCTCAGGCAGAATGTAAAAGACAAGCTTGTTAACGGTTGGATAACGGAAAGGTCTACACTTCAGCTCGAGACTTCGACTGGAATTCCAATTCAAATACCAGAAAACACTCCTGTAGACGACATAAAGGACGCCAAAAGAGAAGCTCTTGTTAAGTTCCTAAACAAACGTCCTTGGATACAACTTCCAAACAGAGAGAGTCCAATTCCACGAATTATACAAATTCTCAGAGCACTGTTCCACTTCTCGGGTCAGCCGTTCTACATAACCTCAGAAGGCGACATCCAACCAGTTCAGTAAACATCTCATTTTAACTTCACTTTTTTATGTTTTTTGTGAAAGTGTCAAAAATAAATTGTTTTCATGAGTTTTCTACGATGTTAGAAAAAATGTTATTTTCTAATATCTTCACATTCAATACTTTTTCAGCACTTTTCCGTAGTTATATATGAAAGACAATTCGAGATAAAAGTCATAGTACAATGGAATAATATGTTGCACACCATTTGTTGTGAACCAAACTTGAAAGTCAGAGAAACTGTTACTAGGTGGTTCGTAGAATTTAGAAGCAAAGTCATAAAGGTCCTTACCAGTACATAGAAAACTATTGTTGCTTGAACTGAAACTTGCATGACACATAACATTTTGAGGGTCAAACACGTTTCTATAAACTGTCAAATCTGCTGGTGGAAGTATAAATTTAAATGGACCATCTGGTGGTAATGGTTCGTTCTGGTTTAGTAACCGAAGAAATTGTGCCCAAGAACGTTTGTCTACTTCCCAAAATAAAAACTCTGTATCTCTTGGAGGGTTAATTTCAATCTTTTGAAATGAAACGGTGGAGTTCATCTTGTCATATTCTAGTTTCAGATAGTATGTTCCATTTAGTAAAGAGTCGTATTTTTTTTTGAAATTCCCAATAATATTTGTTCATTTGAGTTTGAAAGTCATCTAGAGTTTTCTCAAGACTTTCGTCTGAACGAACTGTAAAGATTCTCATTTCGTCAAATTTGTCTATTAGACCATCAGAACCTTCATACTGCCCATGAAAATATACTGCGAACATAAATGCGTTAGTTCTATTTGAAAACAAAACTCTTCTAAATCCTATTGCCTTTGCATCTGAAGGACTTTGAAGCCAACGAATTGGATAGTCAAACCTGTATGCTCGGGATGAAATTTCTTCATCTGAAATAGTCCTACCAGCATTTGTAAAGATATAGTCTAACGGTTTTGTATCTGCTACTTTTGTTCTTTGTTTTTCAACCTGAAGCATTTAATATATGTAAAAAATATATTGTTTTAAAATGGTATGCCATTTCATATTTCTCATCTAACAAACAAGTTTCCCAACGGTCTTCTCCAACAAACTCAGCGTACATTTCAAATAAAATAAAAAAAATGTCACTTTTTTTAAAATAAATTTTTTACTTCATGCAATGTTTTATTTCTGTGCCGTCTTCAAGTATGCCCCAATATTTCCTTTTCGATATTACATGAACTTCGGAAAATACTTTATCTAGCTTAAAGCAGCCCATCTTTTCACCGACCATTCCCATTTCAATGAGTTTGTTGTATCCTTCTTCGTTCGTCATGAGTGCGTCAATGTTCTCATAGTAAACCTTGACTTTGGATTTGACTTCGGAGAAGAATTTGTTGTAGTTGTCAAGGACTGCCTTTGCGAACTGAGGGTAAGACCAATGTTCGACAATAGGTTTTAATGTGGTTACTAAGCCACTTTGACCTTGAGTGAATTCGTACTTCAAAACAAAAGGAGAAAACCTTTCAACAAAGTTGTCGAACTTCTCATAATGTTTACTCTTCATCTCTTGAGGTTTCTTAATGGAATATCCCCATGTCGAATTCATAAGCAATTTGAGTGTCATTGCAAGTTTGGGGTTTGAAGCTTTCCTAATATCATACAGTTGTTGTATGACTTTTCCAACTGTATAGTTCCTTCCTGGGAACTCACCATCTTCGTTTGGAATTCCAGTCGGAATATATTGGACAAACCTCATGTATGCAGCGTTAAGGTCGACATAGTATATCTTTTCATCTGAGTCGAACTTGTCGCAACCAATTGGTCCAGTTTGTGGAAATTCAAGTGAGTCTCTTATCTTCTGAGAAACTTCTCCTGTTATCTCATAAACATCGTCGAAGCAACCTGTTTCATATAAAACCTTCTGACCTAACTCAGATGCTCTCCAATACAATTTGACGTCAATTGGATGTCTCAATGGAAGTTTGTTTATAGCATCTTGAAGTTCTTGCAACCTCATTGGAAGTTCTTCTGGTTCAGGTTGGTATCCGAACATACCAACCCCTTGTGGAACTGTGTACTTCTTTTGTACTAGAACTTTGTCTGGAACAACTTTTGGTCTTGCTAACAATGAAAAGTTTGTTTCGTCTTTTGGTACAAAAGTTTCTGTCAGCTTGTCATCTGGAATTGGTTCCAACAAACCTTTCTCGAAAAGAATGTTTACAGCTCTGACAATGTTGCACTTACTTTTACCAAAGAATGGGTTTGTAAGACTTTCGTTCAACATGAAGTGGTTGTGGACAATCTTCAACCATGGTAAGTCTTTGTCAACAACATAGTCGTCATGTGAAGAACCTTTAGCTGTAGGTATGTTGACTCGGATATTGACATTTGCCAACGGTGCAATTTTTGCCAATTGACCTCTGAGAATGTACCTTGTCTTCACACATGACTCAAGATACTTCATCTTCTCATCTGTAACAAGACCAGAGTTCCTGAGACATGTAAGAATACAAGGTTCATTGACAATTGTTTCAATTGAATTGTAAATTCCATACTTTGTCAAGTCAATGTCAGACTTATTTATGAACGGGAAGTATCCAGCATGTTGTCTGACTGCTTGAAGGTTAGGTTGGTACCATTCGAACTTGACACTTGCAATTCCTTCAATTGCATTCAAAATGTCTGAGTCGGAGTCAACCATTTGTTCTCTCTTTGTAGTCTTGAAAGCGTCAAGAAGTTTTGCGGCTGTTTGTTCATTGCCATGTGCATAGTAAATGTAACCATCCAAATCTGTTATGGTCAATCTGAGATTGTGTCCTTTCTTATTTCCGTCTTGAATTGCAGCAAGTACTCCCATGAAGCCTTCTTTGTTCTTTCCTTCGTCAAAGTTTACTGTAAAGGTTCGACTAGATGTAATTTGACTTCTAACTTCACGATACTTTTCATATGCATATCTTGTTCTTTCCATGGGAGCATGTGTGTCTTCACCTTTTCCTTTTTTCCTTCTCAAAGGATGCAATTGTTCGTCATGTTTCCAGTAGAATCTGGCAAAGCCGTCGTGTCCTTCAACTTGAGGTTCACTAACATCGAAAGGCATGTCCATAAGACGTTCTTCTTCTAACCTCTCTAGTCTGTTTGGATAATTGGCACGTGCTGTTCCAAATCCATTTTAGCGAAGACCAGACAATTTGTCATAGACTTTTATGGGTCTTCCCTTCCTATATTTAAAATTCTTCGAAACTCTCCAACCATATCTTTGTAACTCTGCTTTTATTCTAGCAGACTTTCTATCCATTCTATATGGGGGCATTTTTATAAAAAATAAAAAATTTTTTTTTTCTTTACTTTACATAACCGCCTGCTGCCATAAGTCTTTGACGCCAACCCATACCAGCTAATGAAGGTTGACTTGGTTTAGTTTGGAAACTAAACTTTGGTTTTGGTTTATCTTCAGTTTTGGTTTTTTCTTCTTCTATCGGTTTTTCGTCACTTTTCGGTTCCTCTGACTTTACTTCACTTGCAGGAACAGTTGTGTCGTCAACATCTTCATAAATATCATATGCCATTTGTTTTTGTTTTCCTTTCAACTTTTTGTGTTTGTTGTAAAGTTTAGAATATTTCGACTCTAAGTCAATGAGATGTTCTATAATGAACTGTTGGTCAGTGAAGTAAACTTTTCCATCTGTTGTCTCGAAAGCTCCTTCAGACTTCAATATTTTATTTGTGAGAGTCTGTTTCTTTTTTGAGATACTAGCCGTTCCATTTCTATGAAAAGTGACTTTATAGTTAGGTTTGTATTTCCAGACCTGGCACTTTCTATTATTGAATTTTTCTCTTCATCTGTAAGTTCTTTGACAGGTTTTGACAATGGTTCTGAACTTTTTGTTTGTGTGTCAAATCTACCGTTTCAACTTCTTCGGTCATTTCATCTCAGTAAAAAATTTTAGTTTGGTTTGTTTTCAACTGGTTGTTGTTGTTTTTTAAGTCGGTCTAAAACTTCCTGAGGTATAGGAAGAACTTTACAAACACGTGGTGTAACTGCTGGAAGCCGACAAATCCATCTTGAACTCATTTGTCTCAATGCTGCATTGTTCATTTCATCTCAATAAAAAACTTTACATTCCCCACGTTTGAGGCGGTTTGAGGTTGGTTATTGTTTACCCACTGTTGTGCATGGTTATATCCTCTGTTAAAGAATCTTTCACCTTGGTCCATATAGTGTCCTGCTTGGTTATAGTAGTCATTTGCTTTGTTATAATAGTTTCCTGCTTGTCTTCCTACATTGTCCATCCATCCTTGAACTTTTCCTCTTGTTTCAGGATTTGGAATAAGATTTGTTGCATCTCGTGCTACATCCCAACCTTTCTGTACAGTTTGTATAATAGGTTGTGCTTTCTCTTTCAGTATACCTAATGTACTCAAAATCTTCCTTCCAATTCCAAATGCACCTCTGGCTATTGTTCCCACTGCGGGCAAAAATCTGGATGCAACTCCTGCTAATGCGCCAAATAAACCCATTTCTTATAGGGTAAAAAATGACGAATCCGAACAAGGACCCCTATGTTTCTAAAGCGACAAAGAAAGCACTCATGATAAAAATCTTTAGTTCAACACCAAATGCTTGGTTTATGGATATCTTGGAAAACATTCCGAGAGTTAGAACAGATGGACCTCCATACTGGTTAATATTTGTTGGTCAAAACACAAGATACTGTGAAGCCATACCATTATGGTCCAAAAATATTTTAGATGTGAAAACTGCTTTGACAATATTCGTTGACAAATACCATCCAACAAAACTGACATCTGACTGTGAAAGTTCTTTCAAATCAGATGATATTAAAAACTATCTGCGTTCAAAAAATGTAAACCAATATTTCATTGTCGACCAAAACCATTCTGCTCTTGGTGTCATTGACGGATGTATAAAAATGTTAAGAGACTTAAACCAACCACAAGGTGGTGAAGCAAATGAAATGTCATATGACGACAAATATAGACACTTCTCCATGGCAAAGATGAGACAAGTTTTAAATATTTACAATAACCGTAAACAAAAAGGTTTGGGAAACCACTCCCCGAAGAAATGAAAAACAACCCTGACTTAGAGAAAGACTATATATTTAATAATTTAGTCAAAAGAGACAAACAAGAAAGAATGCCGGGCTTCAAACTTCAGAAAGGTGACAAAGTAAAAATAGAAATACCTAAACGCGACCCATATGAAAATACTATTGACTATGACAACAATGGGAACCCGACAGGTACTCACATTCGTGTTCGTAAAAATAGAAGAAAGTATACAAGAGAATATTATGAAGTTTTAGGCAAACATGGCAAAATGTACACACTGCAAGCAGAAGATAAAACTACTATTGCCAGACCTCGTTTCAAACTTGTCAAAGTTCAAGGTGGTATACTTTCAAAGACAGTTCCTAACAAATATGAGACAACTCCTGACGAATATGCTAAAGAAGTTGAAAATGACGACTAAGCAATTCTATACCATGCGTAAACTGTCATGTAAGGTGGCATGTATTCTTTACTTTGTCCCGTTGTTTGTGTATATCCTGAAACGAAATGTGTATGGTTTCCTTCTCCCTGAGTGTCACTCCAGTAACAATTTATAGCAAACTTAACGTCGTCTTTAACATCATATCCTTTACCATTTGTCATTCCTGACCAATCCCAATATCTATGCTTATGCCAACCTGCTTGAGATGTACTTAAATCTATGTAATGACTGTGTGCAGGTAAATTTTCACCTGAAATCGTTTTACTTCCACCTGTTTCCTTTGAAGAGTTTGCACAATACAAAAACCTGTCGACTATTTGTTCCCATGCACCAACACCAAACATTACTTGAGGACCTCTTGCATCCATAGATGTATAAATAGAACCTACTGGGTTCATTAAATCAAACATATGAGATACTATAGGATTGTCTCTTTTGAACTTAAAATATAGTGCAACTATTTCAGGTTTCTTCTGGTTTGTGTCAGAATATTTTTTATAATATAATCTTATGTTTTCAGGGTAGGTAAAATCTTGACTATAATATTTATTTCTGTCATCTGTATAATAATATACTATTCTCGTTTTTTCTATTGCATTATATCTTTTATATCTATAATAATCTAAATATAATGTTAGCTTTTGTTCATCTACATGTGGTGTTCTGTCGTCATCTCCATAGTCATAATAATGTGGTGCTGGAGCTGGGTCAGGCAATGTCATATCTGCCATTTCATAAACTCTTAAATATTTCTTTTGTTCGTCTCCATATAAGTTTAAGTAGCAGTTGTTGTCTAATGGAACTTTAACTTGTGTACCATCATTCTTTTTATAGCTTACATACATTTCATTGTTATTTTTCGGAATGAGTTTATACCGTGTACCATTTTCTAAGGACTGTACCAACTGCCATCTAAAATATTTATTTTCTTCATTGACAGAAAAGTCACCAACAATAGTTTCAATATTTTTTGTTCCTATCAAACTTTGGTATATTTCATTGACATATGTTTTATCTGCTTTATTTTCAAGGCTAACGTTTAAGTCTGTTATTTCAGAAGATGTATGTGTATGTCCAACGGCACTTTTCCTGTTTAAGGTTTCTTGTAAGTTTGTAATATCAGATATAGAATGTGTATGTCCAACGGCACTTTTCCTGTTTAAGGTTTCTTGTAAGTTTGTAATATCAGATATAGAATGTGTATGTCCAACGGCACTTTTCCTGTTTAAGGTTTCTTGTAAGTTTGTAATATCAGATATAGAATGTGTATGTCCAACGTCACTTTTCCTGTTTAAGGTTTCTTGTAAGTTTGTAATATCAGATATAGAATGTGTATGAGTCTTATCTGCTTTTGTCTCTAATGTTTCCTTAAGACTTGGTATTTGGTTAATATAATGTATATGAGTCTTTTTAGAATATTCGTTTTCAGCTCTTGTCACTTCACTTGACATTTTATTGTCAACATATGTTTTGTCTGCTAGTTCAGGATGAGTATGTTCTTTTGTTGCATAAGCATTGTTAGCTCTTTCTTCTTCTTTTGCTATTGCATCGTCTACATATTCTTTGTCAGCTTTGTTGTCAACATCTGCTTTCAAAAGAAGTTCATTTATAGGTTTCTCGTTTAAAGTTCCTTTTGTTGGATTTATACAGACAGTATTGTTCTTATTGTCTTGAAACAGAAACTCATCTGTCATTGGGTTTATTGTCAGTTTTAAGTCACCCCCTTTCAATGACTCAGATATCTTAGAATAGTTTGAAAAGTTTGTTGTGTTCTTATTTAGAGCTTGCATAATGAGTTGTCGGTTGTGTTGTATTTCTCTCATAGACGCTGTTTCATTTGACATTTTTATTATAGATAAAATATGCTTCCAATAGAAAAAGAAAATTCTAGAGTTGCTACAACTAAACCATTAGATGAAATTTTTACTAATGTCGGTTAAAAGTTTGAGACCGATACCGTAAAGCATGAAGGCTATCGTTTTGACTACCCATTAAGATGGTTAAGAGACCCATCCGTCACAAAAGCTATTGGCTTTCGTAGAATGAAGTTCATTTCAGAAGCCATACATGGTTTCCCATTTACGGTCGGTTTTGAAGTTCGATACTATAACAAAGAAAAACGTATGTATGAGAAATTTGAACAGGGAAAACTTTTACAAGTTAGTTTGCTTATAAACTTAGAAACAACTCTTCAAGCTTTTCAAGAAAAAATAAACGATATCTATATTGAATATGCAAACCAGTATAACATTGACGAAGGAGAATACCATCTCGATATTATTTATGACAGGAAAAATGCAACTGTTAAAATCAATAAAATAGATAGGGTTGTTAGATTCCCGACGATAGGTGTCTTGGAAGATTTGCCTGGTGTCATCATAGTGTCTTTAAATCAAAAATTTTATTTTGGAGTTAGTTTTATTGATTTTTCAATAAAAAACATTTCTAAAACAAGAAAATAAAACGATAAAATATTTATATTTTATATAAGGATCTTATATATTTAAAATAAATATCATTTTATTTTTTTCATTGGTGTCTGTCAAACCATAATACACTATTCAAAAATTCAATGTGTGTTGCGGTTTCAAAAGACACCTTCAAATTGAACGATAGCACAGACACTATTGAATTTTACCCATTGTATTTAGTTTTTACCCTTTTTATTTTTAAGAATTAATGACTGAAACACAAGATGAATATGAATCCAAATTTGAGGGATGGATTGATTGCAAACTTCCTCCCAAAAATATCCCTCGAAAAGTACCTCCCTTACCAAAATTCGAGGATACTAAATTCTCAACTAATAATAAATGTCGAGTATGCTTCAATATTGCTTATCTTCCAGATACAAGCGAAAAATCGAAAGAACGAAAAAGACTTTATTGTTATTGTTTAGCGATACATTACAATTTACTAACAAAAACATATATGCGCTGCATTTATCATCGAAAACCATCAGAATTTGATGAAGATCATCAGCATATATATCAAATACAATGTGAAAATAATCCATATACGAGAAGAGATTTAATAAAACAAGATAGAAAATTACTTTATGTTGTAAAATTTGTTGTGGATACCAACATGTCAATCAATATGGCCGCTTCAGGTGTACTAGAAGATTTCGCCCGACATGTCTACTCCACCTTCAAGGGAGTAATCAATTTTCAACTCAAGATCCCATATAGAAGAGACGAGATAAGGGATGGAATCATTACATTAGCCGACTTGGTAGCTCCAAAAATACACGTTGAGCTTGACAAGATGGGCTACTATTCGATAACAATTGATGCGGCATCACACGGAAGCCGGCATGGCTTTTTTGTGATGGCTAGCAATCCAGCAAAAATGAAGAACCATATCTTCATTGATACTATGATCGCTGATGGTTGGAATGCCAGGGATTACAATAATTTCCTTTCTGCAATTGTTGCCGATGGATGCCCCGCCCAAGTTAAAGGGCTGTGCCACTGGAGGAGATGCGGAGCACTATATCCGGGTCTTCAAACCGTTTATATCCGATGTGTTGCGCATCTCCTCAACTTAGTGGTGAAGCATACGGCAGACAATTGTGCAGCTTTCGCAATGCAAATTAATTATTGCAAAGCGATAAGCAAGGAGTTATCGAAGCCGGACACGAGAAGGGCATTGAATATGAGGGTTATTCATGTTCCGGATCATCGCTGGATGTTTTTCTGGGATCTTCTGAAGTGGATAAAAGAAAAACACCCTAAAATTTATGAATTGTTCAATATGGATGATCCACCGGAATCTGTTCAGATCTTAAGGGATATGGAAATTGATTTCAAGGATGGACTTCCACAATGGTTGTTAAATTTCGAAGAGATTCTTTTACCAATCAAGAAACTCTTGAATTATGCAGAGAGTGACGTTGGCTGCTTCTGCTACATCTATCCAATGTTTCAATCGACGATTGAGCAGTTGACCGGAATTGCAAATCGTCCTGAATTATCAAGTTCGTCAAAGCGCATTGCAGATGCATTAATCGCCAACATGAATGAAGTTTTTGACAAACAGGGCAACTACGCTTTGATGAAATTTGCCTTTGGTCTAACTCCATGGGGCCGGTCAGTCATCCGCGCAGAATTGAACATGCATACTGAGTACAAGCCAGACGTTTCACTCTTCTTCCAAGAACCAATACCTATCAATGCTGAACTTGAAATCCCTCCAAGGAGCTACACCCCTGATCATTTGGATGAAGTGGCAGAGGATCAATTGGACAGAAATCTAGATATAGAAGAGCCCGAGATTGAGAACGAAGCAATTGAAGGTGATGGCCAAGTAGATGCAGAAGACATTGCTCAGGATGAAGAAGTTGAAGAGAATGAACCAAGGAGGAGACTAGGCAGGAACCTTGGTGAATGGGCGTCTCTGTCAATGCAAGAAGTGGAAGAGTACAGCTTCAACGATTTTATGATCGAGATGCTTTCGAGACGTGCAGAAGCAGAAGCGAGGTTCTACAAGAGAAGTTCGGCCAAGAACATAGCTAATGAGTACAAGAAAGCTCTTTCCAACTTTATACATATGAATGAGAGTAAAATCAGGAACAACACCGACATCACCTGCTTGGATTAAAGGTTTTGGGTAGCATGTGATGCAAATTTCAAGGCATTGAAAGAGATTGCCTTAAAATTCATGTCTATTGCTGCAACCGAAGCTGATGTGGAAAGAATGATTTCAATTGTGCGGAACCTGCGTAATAGGTTTAATCAAAACGCACGTGAAGATCCAATAAAGTGTAGAATCCTATTGAAGCTTTTCATGACAAATGAAATCCTGAAAAAGATATTTCCAGATCTGACTGATCTTTAACTTGCCGTAGCTCCTTGATGCTGTAGCTCCATGCTGCAGCTTGACCTACTGTAGCCCCTTGATGCTGCTTGATTGTAGATGTTGGCCTTGAATGATGCCGCTTGACCTGCCGTAGCCCCTTGCTGCCGTAGTTCGTTGCTGCCGTAGCTCCTTGCTGCTGCTTGATCATAGATGTTGCCCTTGAATGCTGCCGCTTGACCGTAGATGTTGGCTGTGAATGTTATCGCTTCAACCGCTAGCTCCTAACTGCCTCCAAACAGCCGTTTTGCTATGACCTCAATCACTTTTATTTATTATTTTAAATATTATTTAATTTTATTATTTGAATAGGCCAACTTATATTTGAGAAGCTCAATTTGAGACCACTTAAAACATTGAAATATCATAAATATTGAAATATTAAAAAGTGTATTTCAAAATATTGAAATTATAAAAATTTATAATACTGAAATTGAGACAAATTAATAAATTCAATGCGTTTTTTTTTGAAATAACTCTCAAATATTATTTTTTTGTTTATTTAATGATGAATAAATATGATTGCTTTAGTCAATCATAAAAACTAATTTAAGTTTAAAATAATGAAAGGATAATTTGATCGTTTTTTAAAATACAATTATTTTTGATGATTTGCAAGAATCTTTGAAAAGAATATAATATAGGTTCTATTTTTGTAAAATTTATCCAAATCATGTATTACATAAATTACGATTAAAACGATGAAAGAACCAAAAAGTGTGTTTTGTGTTTTGTTGTTGCGTGTTGGATGCGGGATCCTGTTATTTCCGAAATCGACAAAAAATTTGGAAATTTAATTTCCGAAATCGAAATTATATTAATGTTTTTAATATTCTTATATCAAAAGGATTAAAGTTCATTAAGAGAAAAACAATTCGTCTTCTTCAATCTATTGGCGCATTTATTTCTACACGCCAATAAGGAAGGGAAAATTATAAGACACCATGGTGTCTTCAAAACGCTAATTTTTGATATTTTTAACAACCCTAAAAATAGAAGACCTTGGAGAAAACGTTTATATTTCTACAAAATATAACAACTTGGCATGGTATAGATTTATGAGGATGTTAAATCAGCCTGCAGCATATCCAGTGCACCCGGACTATTATGAAGTCGAAAACCCTAATGGAACATATGAAAATATTTTCGACCCAGATGCTATTATTGTTCATGCTTCATTTTCTGGCGCCCAAAACTCTTTCTTATGCTTGGCAAATGACTTTTACGAAAAACCTACAAAGTTATACGAACCACCAAGTGGAAGTATTTCAGACTTTCAAGTATGGTTTACTACAGATGGAAGAAAAAGAATAATTCCATTATACCATGCGTTTTACTTAGAACTTAGTTTCATATACAACTACTATCGAACGGTAAAAATATAATTTTTTAATACGGTTGAGGTGTTGGATTTGGTTGCCAACTAGACTGTGGTGCAGGTTCAGGCTGTTGTATAACAGGAGCTTGTTCTTCTGGTTCAGGGTCTTTATGTATAATACCAACAAACTGACCTACTCTTTTACCAATATTTTTGACACCGTTCCATACTCCTCTTCCGACAGATTTTATTCCATTCCATATACCTCTTCCAACATTTCGAAAGAAGTTTCCTATCTTACTGAAGAAACCCATTTTACTATATGTAAAAATCTAATGTCCACCTAGTCTCTTACGTTTCCTGTTGAGTTCCATAGCATTCTTTAACTGGAACTCATACATTCTGTTTCTCCTCTGGTAGAAAACATATTCTGGGTCAACTCCTGTGTTCGCGTCATCTGCATAAAGTTGTTTATATCCCACTTCAGGGTTTGTATAAAACTCTTTCCATCTCATATTTGCATACCATGGTGGCAAACCTAACGCAGCGTCATTTGACATGGCAGTTTGCATTTGTACATCTGTTGGCACTTGACCATAGTTTGCCATTGCAGTTTGTATTCTAACTTCATTTGGAATATTCTCTGGGTTTGGTTGTCCAGGTTGCTGTGCATTCGCTAAGTTCTGTGCGTCCATTTAATATTAGATAAAAATATCTCTTACGAGTACATATGCTGAACATTTGCAGGCATTGGTTCATCTTCATATTCTCTGTACTTTTCTGCCACGTCAAATAAATAAATGACACAATGGAAAAAACCTAAAACAAGTAGTCCTATTTCAAACCACATTTACTTACTAATAAAATTTCTTTATTGTGACACTTTCTCCAGTTTATAGGACCTCTCTCATATTCTATCTTGTCATATATAAACTCATAGTCATGTATGTCCTCTAACCATCTCATAACGGTTTCCAAACCACTTTTATCGGATGTAAAGTAAAAGCATGGATGGTTATGTATAACGTCTAAAGTTTCTAAAGAGTCTCTCAAAGTCCAGTCTACTTGGTATTGAAAATCCCATGTGTTATAGAACGGCGGGTCCACTATAAAGAAAACATTTTCCTTGTCTTTATATTTTCATACAACTCTGTCCAATGACATCTCACAAACTCTATACCTCAATATATTTTTCTATGTCCTCTTTGAAAACCTTTGTATAGTTAAGATATAAAACTTTTGACATAAGTGTTTCAATGTCATGAACTCTTATAGAACCACTATATAATAGTCTAGCAGATATACTATCCCAGTCTATATATTCTGCTTTTTTCAAAACCTCTCTCACAATATTTTTCTTATCTAATGGTATACGTTCCATCTTACCTATAGGTATCTTTTCTTTTAACTCTTTCAATATATTGTTTGTGTCTGGTATATGTTTGAGACGGTCCATATAGTTGTCGAAGTCATTGCATATAATCTTTGAGTCAGGAAATATTGTATGGCACAAATGGGATATATAGAAACTTCCACCGAACAAATCTACAAATGTTAGACCATTCGGTAGTTTCTTAAGTTCTCTCAATATAATATCTTTACATTTACTCTTATTTCCAAAGAACGGTAACAGTGGTTTTGTAAAATTCATTTATATATAATAATAAAAATTTTTTACCCGAAAAGTGACAGAAAAGTGACAAAGCATGAAAACATATATAATTTGTGAAAAGCGACACATTATATATGTTTTCGACCCAGAAGAAGGCTTCTTCCCAGAAGCAATGGAGGAAGAAGAAGAAGAGGAGGAAATACAAGACTCTATCCAAGAAGAGTCCTCCGAATTCACACCAGAAGACTAACAATTTTCCGAATAAAAACTTCATTTATACTAAACATCTTCGGGGCTAGAGGGCGCAACGCGCCTGGAAGCCCCACTACCTTTTTTTTTCATATGGTTTTATGATAGATAAGCATTATATTCCCACTCATTATATTCGTAAATTTTGAGGTTTATCCTTCGCTTTTAAGATCATTGAATTTGATTTTTATATAAAATAGTTATATATTAGAAAATAATATGAGTTTATGTGATATTATTTTTCAGAAGATTTCATTCTATATGCCTATGAAAAGTACTCTCAAAACTAACTTTTTCCTAATTATAATTAAATCTAGAATATTGTATTATGCTTAGTAAGGGTTTCGTTTTGCTAAAATTGTCACTTTTATAGCATGTTTGTTTTTGGATGTTTTGCGAAACCAAAAAAAAAAAACTATGATATACAATGTGTGTGTAAAGAAAATACTTTATTTACTAGTTAAAAAATCATTTGGTATTGATCAAGTTATTTTTTCTGGATAAGATATTATATGGATAATTGGATAGAAAATACAATTATATAATCTTGTACCTGGTTTAATTAAGCTAATTGTCATCAGAAACTTGTAATTTTTATGAATTTCAGATTTTCTTTTCATTACTGCTTTTCTTAATAGGTCAAGTTCTTATTTACGTTATAAAGTATGATATTTACAAATATCAAGTTATCATGTTTTTTGAGAAATTATGAGAAACAAACAAAAATGAAAAAGATAGGAATAGCAATGAATAGTGATGTGGGTATAGAAAATGTAAGAGATATGAATGCAAAGCAATCAGTATTTAGGATATTGACCATAGATTTCGAAAAAAAAATGCTGCATATTGAGCGAAAACTATGATTATATTATAAGGCTGTCATTTAAAGCATAATGAAACTATTCCCTTTTCATTTTAATCGAATAAGATAGTAAAGATTTTTGAATTAGCTAGAAACTGATGAGATGTTTTCACAAATCAGATTTTTAATCTCTATAATGCATAATTCACTCAATATCTCAATTTTGATATTGCGAGATATTTTTGCTATCGGTTTCGCAATTTTGACACAATAGCAAGAGGGTTCTATAAGCATTATTATCAACGTAGAATCTGAATATCATATCAGAAAATGTCGCAAATCTGACATCTACCCGACCAAATAGCAAAAATAATTGAATACTTTTCGCAAAAACTTTAAAAATCGATAAAAATATGAAATATAGATATTAAAGAGACTTTTTATATAATATTCATAAAGATTTTCCAAAAATATGATACCGCAAAATTAAAAAAGTGACGTCTTGAGTGGAGTCAAAGGTCGAAATTGCTAGCTAAATGTTTTTTAGCGAAATTGCGTATTGTACGTTTTCTTCGCAAAACGAAACCCTTATGCTTAGTATTATTTCATTTTTCTCATTCAATTTAGAATTTACAAATGTCAAAAAATTGAGAGCTGTCACTTTTGATGAATTTCTGTTTATTACAATATACTAATAAATTTATTCGCTTAAAATGTTTTCAATTAAGGGTGGCTTCCGACCAAATTGTCACTTTTTAGCCCAAGTGAGAAAATTTCGTAATTTATAACCAAGTTTTTTAAAATCTATATTTAATAAAGATTCTATTTTTCTTATTAAATTTCAAAAATGAGGGGGTTCGGAATCGTCCACAAATTGCCGAAAGGGTTTTTGCTAGTTTTGAATCCGCTTATTTTTATCGACCAAAATTATAATAAATATAATTTTCGATAAGTATTCTACCCAAATGATTCTTCAAAAAATTATTTTTCGGATTTTATTCCGTAAAAAAACGTTGCAGAAAACGCCTAGAAAATTTCGAATTTTCCCTAAAAAATTCAGTGCAGGTCGATTTAAGAGATTTTTCAAAAATAATCATATCAGTAGATAGGGTATAATATAGAGGAGCTTTATGAATAACTCAAAATCCGGGAAACTCAATATTCAACGAGAAAAACGCTTAACGAATCTCACTTTTGGTGTAAACATCACAAAAAATTGAGAGAGCTTTCTGGTCGGAAGCCTCCCTTAAAAAAATTCTCAAAGAATTTTTTTACATCCCTGTTCCAACGTTTGTCCCCAACGTTAATGAAACATTTCATAATAATATAGAATGAGTTCAAATATGCGAACAGTTGTGAATTCTGAATTTTGAAAGTAAAAAATGAATATTGAATTATGCTATCATAATGATGGTTTAAATATATTGCTCAAATAAATCAGCAAAAGAAACAGATAAAAGATAAAATTTTGGATTGGATATTATATTATTCTTTGATACGATTTGATTTGTACATAATTTCTCATATTGATTCCTAAGAATGAATATCTTTTATTTTTTGAAATTCAAAAATGGATTTTGAAATTTGAAGAATTTTCGAATTTTGTTTATAATTTATTGATATACTATATTGATTGGATCTTATTCTAGTTGGCATAATTTTCAATTTAAATAATTTTTCTAAAATTGAATTTCCAAATAATATTGAATCGATCATATTATTCTTAGCTAATTATCTTGTATTTCATCATTTATTGAACCAATTTAACAATTTAAAAATCGATGATATTCAATTTTTGCTGAGTCAGCATTGTAGAAATACATATGATCTGTATGGCTAGCTAACATATTAATCATTTGGTTAAAATTAAAGATTTCAATGCATTGGCAATAATAGAATCAACATCTTTATCAGTTTTTGAAGCGATTATTTTTTAATATCGGCATTTAATACCACTTCATCTCAGATAATATTTGCCATTACTTTTTTTCCCATGCATTCATTTCAATTATTTTTTCAAAGCCTTATGAAAAGTTGTAACTCACAAAAATATTTATACTACTTCCAGTCTCAATTGAAGAAACATAACTTATTATATCATATTGTATAATAAAAACACTTATCCATAAATTGAAAGAATCGTTATATGATCAATTTTTCAGATAGATTCCTTTTCAATGATTATTTTATTCTTCAATTATTTTTACGTAATAATGTCCAACTCATGTAGAATAGATTATCGATTTCAAAATTAAAATTACATTTTTTCTAGAAAATCGAAGCTTAGTTAGCCAAGACAAGTCCCAAACTTAGCGATCAGCATTTTAAGTACTACATAATATCGGATAATGATCTACTAAATAAAATTATAAAAACCTCGATTTTTTAAACAGAAAAATTTAATAAACAAGAAAGTACAGAAAAATGATAACAAAATTAAACAAGTCTGCTTTTCAATTGTTTTCGCATATGTTGAATAAGCTATATGGATCGGAAGTGGATACTTTTAACATATCAATTAAATTTTTGGATAATGGAGTATAACTATCCATTTCAACGTTTTTCTTATTAGAAAATTCCTGCAAATTTTCTGAAGATTGAGCCATTGGCAATGGAATTTGAATACCATAAGATTGCGTGATGAATTCATTTGGTTTTATTCCTAAGTCTGATGGATATTTTTGATAAATTAGTTGATATCTATATCTACATTGAACATCTGTTCGCCCATGAATTTCATTTGCAACCTTGGTCCAACTATGGTCTCTATTGATTGCAACAGCACGCATAAGCATTATATCTTCTTCTTGGGTCCATGGAGATTTTACAATAGTTGGATTGAGTGAGCGGTTCCAACGTTGAGAACATTGACTTCGAGTTCTTCCATTTCCGACAAAATTGGCCACTAGACGAAAATCGGATATACCAAATTTATGTATGCCCGCGAGAAGTCTTTGATCTTCGTATTGTGTCCAAGAATTAAAAGTTTTGTTAACGAATTTCTTTCTACTCGAGCTTGAAACCGGAATAGGCCTGGAATCTACTTCTAAGAGCTTAATTAAATTATCGAGTGGCTGAGTTGTTCCCAAAACCGAAATGCATTGTTTTAATAATTCGTTAGCTGGGGTTTTATTGATAATGAAGCTGTAAAAGATTTCCTTCATCTTCATAACTTTCAACTCATCGTAGCCTGAGAGGAAAACGTCATAAATATTAAGAAGAGATGGTTCTTCTGCCATCTCAGAAAATGAACAGTTTTGAAATCGTCTAAAGGTCTATTCAAAATTTTAATCCCAATTTAAAGTTTTTTAATTATTTGACTATAAAGGACTGTAAAAGCATATTTTGTTCAAATTCAAATTTTGATCTTTTGAAAAATTGAAGAACATTTAATAATTAAAAATTTCATGTTCTACGCTTTGTCCTCTAATTTAGATAAGTAATTGCTAAATGTAAATTTTAAGATGAACGGTTATTTGATAAAAAAAATTTCTATTATTCAAATTTTCTCTTTTAGAAAATGTCGACGAATGTAAAACAAATACGAATCTTTTCGATCTAGATATCTACCCATTCAAAAAATAATTATATGAAATTTTTAAAATCGTAATGATATATTTTACAAATCTCATGAGAGAGCTCTAAATCAACTTTTATTTTTTTTACCATCTTTTTTTTGAAATTTCAGAAAATCTTTTTTTGAATTTAAAATTTGAAACCAAGCTTGGAAATATTTTCAATATTTGTAACTTAAATCATATGCATATATTAATTTAGCAAATAATAACAATTTAATTGTGTAATTTTTTATTGGTGAAAATAACACAATCTTATCATTAAAAAAACATTAATTGTTTATTCATCTCATATCATTATAATTCTATTTTTATATATATCTTATGTACTTTATCTGTAAAAAATTATTTATTAAAATGTTTTGTAGAATTGATATCCATTAGAATGGATTTTAAATTCCATACAAGTGTATTATAAAACCATCTATTTGATTTTTTGTTTTCGTTTATATTTATATATTTTGAATAATTAGAAATGTGTAAGTAATAATTCTATTCGATTAATTTGATGATAGTGGTCTAAAAGTTAATTTTTGAATAATTTGTAATTATCGTTTTATGAAAAAATGGGATAAATATTCATTATATTGTTTCTCATCGAAAAATATGATATGTTTAAAAAAAAAAAAAAAAAAAAAAAAAAGGTAGTGGGGCTTCCAGGGGCTGCGCCCCTTCTAGCCCCGAAGATGTTTAGTATAAAATGAGGTTTTTATTCGGAAAATTGTTAGTCTTCTGGTGTGAATTCGGAGGACTCTTCGTGTTTCTCTTCTTCGTGTTTCTCTTCTTCTTCCTCTTCCATTGCTTCTGGGAAGAAGTCTTCTTCTGGGTCGAAGACATTATATAATGTGTAATTGAATGACACATTATATCTTTCTTTGAGTTCGCTCCTGACAAAGAACTTAGTTCCAGGAATACAGAAGACTTCTGTGCGTTGGAAAAGCTGATGTCCTGGAACAAATTTGGCAATTAGAGACTTCTTTTTTCCGAATTGTTCAGGAGTTTCCATGACGACAGTAACAACATCTCCATCTGCGAGGTCTTGTTGTTGTTCGGAAAGGTAAAGAGCAATGATATAAATGGTTGCTGCGTTGAATTCGAGAAAGTCGAATTCAAATTGTGTAGTCGTATAGCAGTCAAACCATTTTGTACAGTTGTCTCCGAACTCGTCAATGTATTCATCTTGGTCATATCCGTAACTAAAGACTTGGAATTCGGCAATTGTCTTGTCGAATGACCGTTGGATGTTACGAGGAAGATTTTGACGAACTTGGTATAAAGTTCTCAACATTATGAGCTTAGTAAATGTTGGAAAATACTGAACTAAGACATCGCTAAGCTCAATTGGACTTGGAATTGTCTTAGTAAGTTCAATTGAACTAGCAATTGCTTTGTTCAGAACTTCACAGAACTGAGTATTGTATATAGCGTCTGGTTGTGTGTTTTCTTCGGCGTCTTTGAGATATTTAGAGCAAATTTGTTGAAGAATTTCTCTTAATTCGCTGTTAGACTTTTTGGCGGTTATTCTAACAGCTGTGCCAGTTCTTGGAGGTTGTGGGGCTTTGGCTTTGGTTAGCGGTTGAGAATTGTTAATGTTGGCTTCCATTAGACAAAAATAAACTGTTTTTTTCGGACTACTCATAGAAAAGTTTAAAATAAACCGTTTTCGTCAACGGTAACCCCCTCTATTTTTTTATTTTATTTAATAGTTACCGTTGGCAAACCGTTCCATCTCAAATATTGAATGAACTATAAACGTTTTTTGTTTTCTATATATACTTTTTTGTCCAACGGTAAAACTTTTTACACAACGGTTTTTGAGAGTCGTCGCCGTTGACTTTTTTGTAGAGCACTCAAAATAGTACAGCTTTGTCTGGACAAGTAAGGGTCTATCGTCGCTACAGGAAAAGTTACAGGCGTTCCAAGGAAGTATACTTTGAGAAGACTTTCCCCCTTATAGAATGAGATAGGACGGTTATTTTACAAAACTGACAACACTTTGACCGAGTAGTTTTTTGTGCTGAACAAAAAGTGTCATATAAACATCTGTCAAAAACCGCTTTTAACTTCACTTAAAATGCCACGTAAGCTACGTAAGAATATACGTAAGAGGAAGAGAGCATTGAAACATCCAATAGTAAGACTGACACCACAACAACAGTTGCAACAACAAATGCTGAATGACCCCACTATGTTGCAACAAATGTCAAGCAATCCTATGCTTTTAAACCGAGTTGTTGGTGCACAGAGTGGAGGTTTAAGAGCGGCACTTTTAGCGAAAATGGCAGGCTATGGTGGAGCTGCAGACGGAACAGCCTATAACCCTCAAAGTCAAATGAATTTGAGTTCACTCAAAAATCAAATAACAGATGTCAAAAAGTCAAACATAGACATACAGAAGCAAATAAGTGAAAACGAAAAGAAACTAGAATATGACAGACACACAAAGAAACTCAATGAGTTAAACGTAGAGAAAAAAAGAAAGAAGAACAACTGAAAGAACTAAGTACAGAGGAATATGCGAAAAAAGTGTCAGAAAAAGCAGCAGAAGTAGCAAAAATGGAACAAGATGTCATAAATTTGAAAAACCATACTACTCAATATAAAATACTGAAAGATGAAGAGATAAAACAAAAAGCCCTGAAGACATATATGGATAGCGATGAGTATAAAAAAGAAGTTGAAGCAAATGTAAAGGCAGAAAAACTTTTACAGTTGCAAAACCAAACCGTACAGTATGAAAACTTAGCACAAGAAAGTAAAAATAACGACGCGGCTATGCAAAAGGCAATGAAAAGCGCAGAATATATAAAAGCCAACAATGACTGGTTAGATGCCCAAGCCAACGCTAAAGCAGCCCAACTCATAGGGTCAATAAGGACAAAAAATACAAGCGGATGAAGATAGTTCAAATGAAGCTTTAACAAATGCTGACTTTAAGAACGCCTTCGAAGCTCTTCATAGTAAGGTGAAACAAGTGAACGACTTCTCATCTGGAAAGAAACTGAAGTCTGAAGGTTTCGACAAAGAGTTAAGAGAAGTAGCACAAAATATGACGAAAATAACAGATGCAGCAACGAGACAGGCAGTTCAAAGTGCCTATGACGCCGTTAGAGCAACTGTTGTGGAAAGTCAAGAAAAAGAGTTACAACAGACCAAAACAGACCTAGTAAATGCTTCTTAAGAACGAAAAGTCAGGTAGGACATTACGCTGCAGATGGAACATATGTGCCAGCTGGTGGAACTTATATACCACCAAACCCTCCAAGAGAAGCACCTGCACCAGGACTACCTAAAACATTTACATCGTCACATGGACACAGACACAGGCATGCACCAAAACCAACACAACAACCACCTCCACAACCAGCACCACAACCAACAGTTCAAAACACTGCACAGCAACCAACACAACAACCAACAGTTCAAAACCCTGCACAACAACAACCACAAACAGAGCAAGGACATAAAAGAAGTAGAGAACAAGGAAACCAAGAATTCTTAAAAAGCTTAAAGAAGAGTGTGGTTTCCCAGATACTGTTGACTTTAGTGACAGATATAAAGAAGCTATTGGAAAGTTCAAGGATGGAAATACTGACCCGAACCTATTTAGCTTTATGGCTCAGCACCAAAAACGGATATAATCTCAAACCTGGAAAATACAAGCTCGCTAAGGATATGATTTAATAGCATATCATCCAAATGACATGGATGAATTTACTCCGAGATATTTGATGTCAGAGCTAAATGACAATTCAACTTTCGTCATGAAACGCGTAAAAATAGAGACGGAACGAAAGAACAAAAGCTTATGAATGCGGATGACGTAGATAGGGAAATTGTTGAAAACGGTCTCGGAATATATGAAATGCCAGCAGATGAGGTACAAGAAACTCCACAGGAAGAAGTTCAGATACAACCAGACATGGAAGAAATAGTTCAGCAACAACAGCTAGAAGAGCCTGAAGGAAACGAACAAGTCCTTCCTTTGGAAACTAACTTCACAGAACTAGATGAAGATTTGGAACAGCCGAAAAATCTTGACCCTCAACAAGAGTATGAGGTGAATATGGAATCTTTCCCAAGAGTCTAAGAAAGATTCGGCTGACATAGTAGAAGAATATCGAAAAATGTTTGCCGACATACAAAAGACTCCAACACCAGATGAAAATATCCAGCATAGAATGGAAGAACTGAAAAAAAATGTACACAAATACAACAACCCTTTTACTTACGAGCATTTAACGTTCAATCTTCGGATGAACTCGGTGAAGATAAAAGGTTAAATTTCAAGAAAACATATAGAAATGAAACATTGTTTAAAGTTCATTCAGAACCTAACCAAGATGGAAACAAACCTACTTTTGTTTCTGCAGACGATGGAACTACAATGAGATGGGGTCATAAAGCTAACCCGGATAGGTGGTTCATAAACTTACAACCACAATTCCAAGAAGTTGTAGACGCAATGGAAGTCAATGGTGAACAAGATATAGCTGGTATTTTAAGCGCGCGCTTTAATGCCATTGAAAGATATGAAACATGCAGATATTTTGGACCAGTATGAAATGAACATGGCTGATGGAAATATAACACCTGACGTTCTAGAACATTTATCTCAAAGAACTACACAGAACCATAGAGATGGTATATTTGGTGAAGAGTTT